TCTGATTTATCCGCTAGGACTAATAGTTTATAGAATATGTAGTGATCTCCTATTTCCAAGATTGCGTCATACGATGCTGTATTTTGAGCTGTCCATGGCTGTCCACGTATATGTCTGTGACTGTATTTTGGCTGTTCGACGGCATATTGGCTGTCCGATGTACAAGATTAACCAAACGGTTTACCCCTCGTGTTTGCTGCATATAACATAATTGATCATTTTGTGTATATAAGGAAAATGTGAATAGATAAATCAACGACTGTAAGATCCTGGTGCTTCTGTATATTTTACCTCACCCACCTCAGTTTTTATAACGCAGTATCTGAAAACCTGCACCACCATATTAAGATCTTCACTGTAGACGCAGTTCAACAAACTGGTGTATCCCACATCTCTGCAGGAAACGGCCGAATAATATCTAATCCACTTATTAACAACATATCATCAAAATTACATGTGGATTTTGTCGGCGCGTGTCTACTATACAGCATATATTAAGCTGAGTATACACTGAATAATTTTATTTACGTAGAAAGGATTGATTCACATATTCTACCTATTCTGCCCAGGCTCATACATATAGTTGGTTTCAACCCCATCTATGGGACACTTAACTTTTTTAAAATAGATTTCTAATTATTGCAAAGAGGAGAAATATAGCTGTGACAAATTCTCACCCAGACGACGTCAGGATATCTCATTTATTTCATCTCGAATAATTTTATGAACGCCGACGTACAGTACATGGTTGGCTGTCTTCAGGTAGAATATGATTATCAAGGGTATAAAGTTTACTGAAATTCTTCAGTAATTGATTTTGTACTTTATTAAAAGGCTGATGTGAAATGAATTGATCATATTAGGATTTAATGTGCAGCTACGTTCATACTACATTGTTTATAGTAGGTCATCCTCTATCTAGACAAAATTTAATATTTAATAGCTGAAATGAACTGATTACATCCATTTTTCAAGGATGTAATCGCGAAAAATTTGGAGATATTATGTGTTTTGGATGTTGTTCAGCATTTACATCACTAAAAACAGTCACACATTTCCGACGCTCTGTCTGTCCAGCGGTCTGTCCGGTAATCCTTGACCCTTCTATAACTTGGAAAGTACTGCTCGGATGTTTTTATACAAGAATACTACTACACCAAGGACAAAAAAGCTTTTTAGTTTCTGAGAATTGGTCCAGTGCTGCGGAGAAATAGGTAAAAAAATGAAAAAAAATCGCTCAACGTTTTTTGACGTTTTTGAAGATCCTGTTCATTTTTGAAAAGAAACTTATGGAGAAAAAATAGGGGATGTGGCGCTATATTTTGTGGGGGGCGGGGAGGGTATATCTCTATATTTTGATGTTGGTATATTTATATACGCTCCCAACCCTGGTAATTCTACGCATCTGTTAGCCATATTTCACACATCATAGATTTCCCCGTACATGTCTTTAAAACTTGAAATGATAGAGAATTGTTCTCGCTACTTCTCCTTCCACTACCTGGGCTCAGCGCCCCGCGTAACGGCCTGCTTGTACTGCGGCCGCGTTCGGGAAGGGGCAACATTGCCAGAAGTATGGTAATTACCGGTAGGGCCGGGAAAGAATGTCTATGTACCAGTTGTACGGGCCTGTTTGGTTGACTTGTTCCGTTTAATTTCCCTATTGTACATATGTTCGTGACTAATTTTTTTCTCAGGGGGCTTAACTTGTGCGGAACCTAATCCTTTATGAATGGCGTTGCCTAGGACGACCAAAGTCAAAATACTTAACGCTATTTTTTCGATCGTGTATTGAGAAAGAGATTTCAAATTCGTATGTTATAAGAGCGCTCATCTACCTCTACACCAACCAAGACATTACAAAACTAGCACTGGCTTATCCAAAAAAGTTCTGGGGTGACTTACACAAAGGTTACTCCAGGCAAATTTCGCCAAATATCTCATTTTTTGTCAAAATTGAAGGATGGAAGCGAGATATTGGAAAATAATATGTATGTAATCAGTGAATAATGAAATGCAACACTCAGAATTATTTATTGAATTTTGATAAAAACTTGTACACATATATTTGATATCATGTAAGTATACGTTGATAAAATGTTGAAGGCATTCCGAGCCGTACTTTTTTGTACAGGCTTTTTTGTCAAATCAGGATCCGAACAATATGAACATGTTTACTCAATACTCAGTGATTTTTCCATGTTGGTTCCACTTGCTTCATTGCAATGTTATGCGTCGAGTTCATAGATGCGTTAATTTCACTCCACTTTCCGAGTTTGAGAGGGGTCGACTAATCGGGTTACGTGAAGCCAGATTTTCTTTTAGAGAAATCGCTGGGTGATTCGAAATGAAGCTACTGTAATGAGGTGTTGGCGAGCATGGTTCCAAGAAAGCCGGAATCGACGAGTTAGAGGTACTCTACGTCAAAGACAGTCTACAGAGCGACAGGATCGTTGTTTGAGGCAACTAGCTCTAAGGACCGTATCGTCAGACGTTCCTACAATAACTGTAGGACGCCTTTATGGCCTCCTTGATTTTCATAGTTTTCTAAACTTCCGTGTCACCGCTTTATTTTAAGGTTATGTTACAAATATCTATTTCCATCAATTTAGGTGGATTCTTTAATTCACCGGTTGATTCCACCACTGATGCTTATGGTTGACACTGTTGACAGCTTTGTATGGTGATGGCAGCAACCGGTTGAATTAAAAGGACAGATGTCTGGTCCACCGGTGGCACCGGTTGCTCAACCGGTGAATTAAAAAATACACCATTTGTTCATACTTTTGATTTATATCATCTATTATACAGGGTGTTCCTTAATAATATGCGAATATTTAAGGGTGTGAATCTACGTGCCCCTTCCCACTTCAGTTGGCCCAACTATTGAAATCTTAGTTTTTTTTCTTATCAAACACAAATAATAAAAATGTAGCAGGGTGTTATAGGTTTAAAATATTAACAATGAACATTTTGATAATACATAGTAGAAAACACCAACTTTATCACTCCCTAATCAAATTTGCAGCATAAAAATAACACATGTTGCAAATTACAGCATATCAACCTATTTTCATTTCAATGCAAAGTCTATAACGTATAGATGGCTGTGAAAAATAAAAGCCATGACAATTGTTTTTATTAATCACAGCTGTCAGAATACGTTTAAAATAGTTTTGGGTAGTTAAGGTTTTCAAAATGGGTAGAGGAAAGGTTATTAGTGAGAAAATTCGGTTACTGATAATGAATTTTTTTATTTCTCGGAAATAAAACTCAGAAATTGCAACTTTTGTTAGCGGTACAGTGTGAGAAATATTGTTAGAAGATATAACGTAACTGGTTCAGTTAATATTAAGCCACTATATGTGAAAAAGATTAATATCACAAATGCCGAATGAAGAGCATTAAGAAGAATGATCATGAAAGACAGGCGTGCCAATTATTTACAATTAAGTGCTCTGTGGAGTGACGCTGCTGGAAGGAGAATTTCGAGGTCCACAACTCATAGAGAGGCCCACAAACTGGGATTTAACACTTGCAAGGTAAGTTTTCTTATAAAAAAAGTGAGGTAAAAACCCTAAAGTTGCACAACTTCTTTATAGGCCAAAGAAAAGTCACTATTAACTCGACTTCAAAAGAAAAATCGGATTAGATGGGCTGAAGAACATAGACAATGGACACCACAACAATGGTGTGCAATACAATGGAGTGATGAGGTCCGATTCGAAGTTTGTGTTGGTGACATTCGCAGTAGAGTTATTCGCAAAAAAATGAAGCATTCCATGTTGACTGTCTGAAGAGAAAAGTGAAATTTCCAGCATCCATTATGGTCTGGGGTAGTATGTCTTCAAAATGAGTAGGAAATCTTCATTATATTGATGGAAATGTGGATACAAACAAATATTTGGCAATTTTAGAAGAATCGCTTTTACCAGTGATTGAAGAATGTTTGACGTCCGGCCAAGATTTTGTGTTTCAGCAAGATGGTGCAGCGTGACATACCTCAAAAAAGGCTATAAAATGGATGGAAGAAAATAATGTACCACTTTTGAAATGGGTTTCTAGCAGTCCAGATCTGTCACCTATTGAAACTTTGTGCCACGACATGAAAAAGATTCTACAACATCCTGCTCGTACAATCACCGAACTGAGACAAAAGCTTCAAGATATATGGATTGTTTTACACCAAATTTTTGCAAAAACTTGGTTAACACCCCAAAGAATTTCAGCCGTAATAAAAAATAAAGGTGATGTTACCCAATGGTAATCTTTCAATTTTTCAATTGTTGCTTTGTTAACTTCGCGCATTTATTCGCTCATTGTTTATTTGTTCAGATGTTCTATTAATTATAGGTCTAAGGCCCGTATCGTCAGTCGTCCCTACAATTGTAGGGCGCGTTTATGGCCTCCTTGATTGTCATACTCCTTTCCCTCCTTCAAAAATTTCTAGATTACACTTGTCCCGTGTCAGCGTCAGCGCTCTCCTATTGTGAAGATATATTTTCTTTTTAAATTGTAGAAAATTTCAGGCTGATAAAACATGATATAACTCAAAAGCAAGCACAATTTGATGCAAATAGATGTTTGTGACATAACCTCAAAATAGAGCGCTGACACGGAGAAGTAGAAAACTATGACAATCAAGGAGGCCATGAAGGCGCCCTACAATTGTAGGGACGACTGACGATACGGGCCTAAGTGATTTCAAATATGTATTTTTTACGACTAGAGTGTACCTAAAATGTTTTTGAGAAGGTAAATTGTTTTATAAGTAAACAGTTTCGTCATGTTTAGTTTATAAAGGCATATTTTGGTACAAATCTTGAAGTGGGCAAACTGAAGTGGGAAGGGGCTCGTAGTTGATGTGGCACCATATTCGTTTGTTTTTTAATCGCCCTCAAAAACGTTTACAATGCAGATGAAACTGGGCTTCGAGCACCAAGGCCTCCCCTCTAGAAATCTGAAACCGCCAGTTTTAAACAATTGAATTATCATTTTAGGAAATTTTCTTTATTGGTGCCCGCCACCAATTCTACTCGGCTGTCATATGACTGCCTCTCAAGGAAAATTCAGACTAATAATACTGCTTTTATCTGACTAGATGAACTATGTAGGACAACGAACTAAAGCAGAGCAAACTAACCTCTATCAGAGGTATAGGTTCCATCCAAATAGGATAGAAATTGTAGCCATCTTTTGGAACTGTGAAGGTCTACTATATCGCCAGAATCCACGGCATTGAGCGGTCACAGCATGACTGCTGATATACCTTTAGAGATCTAAGAGATTGCTATTCTCTGTCGCAGTGGTCAATTCTGGTAATACTATAGATGGCAAAATCGATAGACAGAATAATGCCAACTACTGAGATGAGATCTCAACGATTGACCAGTGGCTGTTTCCCGATTCATGGAAATACTTAAAAAGCTTTATATCCTAAATTGTCTGTCAGTAGTGTAAACCCAGTATAATGCCGACATTCTATCAAGTGCTGGTCATATCAACATCAGCTGTTGTCTCTACCACTACCACAACACAGTTGTACCGACCACCAGTCATCCGAGAGCGCGATGTGGGCTGGTGAGTCAGCCCGCGAAAGGCCGCCGAGTGGCGAGCATCTACATAGCGTCGTAATCGTAGTGTGCCATGGCCGTGCTGCTGGAAAACGTCGCCAACTGCGTCTGGTTGGCCTTCGAGGCGCTGCAGCAGGACAAGTCCGGATTCGTGCATAAGTCCAAACTTAAGGTGCGAAAATTACACTAAAGTTGTGTGATGATTGTTGTAGGTGTTGATGGACTGATGAGTGAGTAGTTCAAATCTTGTTAGGTGTATGTAGCATGGCCACATGTTGAATGATTCAAAATGAGATTAATCACTCGCGGAATGGAGCTTAAGTCTGCGGTTACTATGGATGCGAATTCTGACGAAATATTTTTCTCACCAGTTCAGACTTACTCGTCCTGATAAACAAACACCTATTTTCCAATGAGAGTGCGTCCAGTACGTCAGAGAATGCACAGCGTCGCCAGAACTATTTGAGCGTTCAAACAGATTTCTCATACGACGTGCGCGTCTTTTTTTGGGTACTTACTGGGTTGTTTCACCATAATTAAATTGATAGCTATTGTGTACGAGAACAGTTTACTGCGGGATATGAGATATGAGAGAAAAAAATTATCAATATTAATAACCTTTCATTCTCTCCTTTGTCATCTCTACTAGGAAATAAAGTATTGGCATGCTCCTGTTTTTCCACCTTTTAAAAAGAGTAACTTCAGTAAAGGACTTTCCAGAAAATAAAATTCGTCAACTTGCTGGGCGGCAAAAATGTCATACACCGCCCTCAGTGTACCCGCCTTCTTCTGACGAAGATCTCGGATGTACTCGTCTGATCTAAATTTCGTCAGGTCAGAATCCGCATCCATAGTAACCGTAGCCTAAGCCATATCCAAAACTGTCATGCGGTATTATCCACCTCAGAAGTTTAAAGGTTTGAAAAACGAGATTCTGACTATCTCACTCTATATTCTGCAGATATTCTGCTCAAAATTAAAGCATTTGCGTCGTTAAAACTTCTTAGGGAAGGTGAATTCTTCCATCGCCAGAGATGAAGATACCTATTCTCAGGTATGCAGCATGCACTCCTTGGCCACAGGTATATGAGTTTCTGGGATTTGTAGGGTGGAATCTAGCTCTGAATTCGCCCTTTTCTATAAACATGTTTTTGATGTAATATTTGAAACTTATCCTGTGGTTGGTTCACTGATGAAATTCTATGATTCACAGGACCCTAAATTACACCGCAAATGCAGAAGTGAAAGATTTACTGATGTTTGGGTCACATCGGAGGCCGTTTTCAAACGTTTGCAACTGGGGGTTTGATTTGGCGGTCAGTAAAACAGTGAAATTCATGTTTCTACTTTAAGATTGGCGAGCACCGACAAAGAAAATTCAAAACTAAATTACTACATGGCTGAAAATGTACATACAAAATTGGCGGCTTAGGGACTTCTGTATACGAATGATACGATGATATTTTTAATACTGAAGATATGCAGTTCTTTTGGATGTGCCATACGTAGATACACTTGTATACATATCCGCAATCTCACTATGAATTCACATACAAGGGGTTTCCAAAGTGTGTGTGTGTCGTCAAACGGAGTTGATATACCAAAAATGACATATATAAAAAATGCATAGTAAAAGATTAAAAATTTCAAAAATAAGAATGTTATTTAACAGATTTTTTTATATTCTCGACCACTGTCGTGTAAAATCTCAGCGTATTGTTTTTTTATTCTTATCCTTTATCTGAATTTGGCAAACTTTTTGTATTGTTGTATGGTCTTTTAATAGTGCGTATACTTTCATTTGTCTGATTATTTTGTGCAAAATAATGGCCCATGTTTACGAAAACAATGAACTAGTGGACATAATACTGACATATGGAGAGTGCCAACAAAATGCAGCCGTAGAATGCAGGTTGTATGCGGAATGGTTTCCTTCAAGAAATCATCCGGCCCCACGAATGTAAGTTTAATTATTAGATTTCGTGACAGGATATTTAAAAGAACAACGTGGAGGTGGAAGACCTGCTCAACCTGAAATGTTAAAAATTGAGGAAGACATTCTAGAAATGGTCGAAGATGACCCAACAATGAGTACTATAGACTTAGCAGCCCAAGTTGAAGTTTCCCATAGTAAAGTGTGGAAGACAATATGACGAAAACACTCTTATCCTTATCGCTATCAACGAATACAAGCATTACAACCTGAAGATCATCGTAGAAGAGTTGCATTTTGCCAGTTCTGCAGAAATAAAGATCTTACGAAATTAATTTTGTGTGCAGACGATGCCTCACTTACACGAAATGGAATGCACAATTTCCACAACAATCATGTTGGACAGTAGAAAATTCGCATGCTGTAATAAGAACTCATTTTCAACATAGACTTTCATTAAATGTTTAGGCTGACGTGGTAAATGGCATGCTTGTTGAACCCTACTTTTTTCCACCTCGAGTGATCGGTGAAATTTATTTAGATTTTCTTCAACACAATCTGCAATAATTATTAGATGTTCCTCTATATGTTAGACAGAATATGTGGTTCCTCCTGGAGCTCCACTACGTTTTAGACGAGAAATTCATGAACATCTAAATAATGAGTTTCCGAATAGATGGATAGAGCGCAATGGACCCATTTCTTGGCCTGCTCGCTCCCTGGATATAACGCAGAGCGTTTTTTTTCTGTGGGGCTATTTGAAGAGTAGGTGTATCATGATGGAGCAGTAAATAGTCTGGAAGAACTTCTACAGCGCACTGAAAATGCTTGTGATTTAATTCGTTGACACCAGGATTTTCGAAGCTTGTAAAGAGTCGTGGATTTGCCTAGCAAGATTTTGCGTTAACCGGACAAATGGGGCAATTTTGTAAAATGATGATTTTTCTAAAATAATTTTTAATAATGTAAACTAACTTTACTCTTATTATGCAACTTTTATTAGGTGATTTTTGGTATTTCAACTTCTTTTGACGAGTTCTACAAGCTGTGACAAAATAAATGACTCATCTAATTTAGTTTTGGATTCTCATCGTTGGTTCAGGCCACCTGAAGTGGGTATTACATGTCCATTTTTATAGAAACCAAGCAAAAACAGAGAACGTGAACATACTATAATAATAGTTTGGAAAAACACGTTATGTGATGTAATCCTATTAGCCATTCAGGTTGTTCTCACATAGCAACTGAGCTTAAAAACTATGAAAACCCTAAGATTCGTTTATCATTGCAAGTGCTTTACAAAGCTGTATGGGTTTGCTATCTATTTCCTGTCCATTATCTCGGGAATGATTATTTAATTGGCCTTTTTAATTTTGACATCTCACTACGCTAGGCTTGTTGAGTATAAAAACACGTGCTCTTTCCCTTTTTTTGATTTTTATATATAAAATTTTTTATTGAATTACGAAAATAGTTCTGCCTTTTTTCAAATATCTCAGCCGCATTATAACGTTTTTTAGTTTTGTTTGCGCCAAATCAAAGATCTTCGAAGCGCACATGAAACAACATCCAATTTTTTTGGCGGGTAGTTCAATTTCTTTTAGGCCTTAAACATTTCCAATAGTTTTTCAACAAAACCTTTCGACCCACGTTATGACATTGATAAACGTATTCAGATGAAAACAATATAATGTCATGTCTTTAGTAGATCATGAATTTTTTCATAAGTTTTGAGTGGGTGATCGGGGCTCAAAAAAATCAAAATCTATTTTTTTCGCTAATCTCCGATATTTTTTACCAAATATTTTCGATTTTTGTTTCTTTTTTTCTGAAGGATAGAGGTTTTAAGTAACTTTTGGATTGAAAAAACTTAAGACGAGCTGTTTGTAACAAATTTTTACTAAAAAATACAGGCAAATTTAAAAAAAAACTTATTTTTACTAGTTTATCTTAAGTCTTTTCAACCCAAACGTTATTTGAAACCTCTATTTTCCAGAAAAAATAGTAACCTAATAAAACTGAATATTTTTTTTTAAATATCGAAACATAACGAAAACAATAGATTTTGATCACATACCCCAAAAATTATTACATAGATTTTCTTCATCATAACGTGGGTCGTTTATTAAAAAAATACTCTCCGGAGACACGTGAACTTGTTTGCTTCTTCCGGACCCGGATTTTATGCCTGGCGCCAAAAATTGTACAGCTTTTACTTTATAAAATACTTAATTCCAATGTAGCTTACGTCTCGCTGCTTTCGCAAGAAGTAAAAACACGATTTTGCTTTTGGACTGATGGGTGTCTGTTTTTCCTCTCACTAGATATTTTTAGATCGAATGGGTTATATAAAATGTAAATGTTAATGCTTCTCGGTTATCCTACGTATGTATACTTTAACAATATTCATATCAGAACAGACAATATAAACAAATCAGACACTGCATCGATTTATCGGCAGCGTTTACGTAAGATTCCCGCACATAACATTGCGATCAAACCTTGACACAGTGCTTTTTTGTTATTACGGGAGAGCAGTGGCAACCTGTGCGTTTCTTTTATGAAATCTTGTTCTGGCTATATTTGGGCATAACCGCGTCAGATGGGTGACCATATCGGTAGAAACCGCATCTTGTGAAGCTGACTAGCTGTGTGTACAACAGATCGAGAAAAACGATGTTGCTGCAGAAGTACTCTTGCGCCTCATAAATTGCAAAAATTAGCTCAAAGAAATCTTGGAGGATGGACATTGCTGACAGAACTTCATGATTTCCTGGCCAAATGATACCACATATGTAGAAACTAATTTTTACTGACGTTTCGGCCACTACGGTAGCCTTTTTTCAATAATGACAATATATTTCATATGTGTCTTTCAGGTGACAATTTACTTGTATTTTCCTTTCCTTTGTTACTGTACAGTGCGTTGCGACAATAACTGTCATTACAAAGGCCATAGCATCCACAAAACGACAAGCGAGACATGACCCTCGCTCATCATCCCGAAAACGCCGAACGTCCTCCAAGGACGCGGAAATCCATAACTGTTGTCGCAAATTATCGGTTAACTGTTGTGCAATTGTGTGTTTCGTACAGCCAGATTCTTTTTCCTTCTTTTTTGGTTGTTATCTTCCTTGTATACTATTGACACTATTTCCAGTTTACCCTATGCTCCATTTGGCTTGTACGAACATGTTCGCTGAGCATATTTTTACAGAAATAACATGTATTAATGCATGTACCTGTCGAAATTATAATTTCTAATAGTTGTTTCTGCCAGAATTGACAAGTCGAGACGACACGTCAAGTTTCCTGTTACACGTCAAGTCAGGTATGAGGGCAGACACTTGAATTCATCAACTTTAACCTTCGATAGCTTAAATGGGAGCTTTTTTAATTCCAGCGGATAATATAGAACTATGCAAATCCAGCCAATGGCGGGAGGAGGTAGGCGTGAAAGTAATCTGGAAAGCTACAAGTAGACTGCGCTAGGTAGGTTAGGGCTCACGTCTAGAATTATAGACGAATATATCACTTACCGGTCAGCTGAGCACGTCAATAGAGTCAAAACCAGTGACTTCTGATCAAAACGTAATGGGGCTTAGTGAAAATAGATTACCTTTCTAACAAATATCGTATGTCTTCCTCTCATCTACTTTAGATAGTTTGACCGCCAGCCATACAAAAATTTTACATCGCTGCTTTAGTAACCATCGGCAGGAAAGAAATCTTCCCGCCAGAACAAGGGCCAACAGACGGAAAAACCATAAAAATAATGTTTTCTATCCAGTTACTGCTTGCCCTTTGCCTCGTTCAAGTCGACTAACGAAATCAAGTCCGATATTCACAGATAATTTAAAATTTGTGATTTTGAGTGATTAGTGCGAGTTAAAGACGTTATTGTTTTGGTTAATTTCAAGATTCAGACACGTTTTGCCAGCTTCTTTAAAAGAACATTTTGCCAGTAATTGAGCCTGAAATTTCTCTATATTTTTGTCATCTAAAGATATGTATTCATCGTTACTTAACTTATTAAAATCTCTAAGGTGCTCTTTTCGGTTTGCTGATAAATAATTGCCAAAATCTAGTTTGGTACTATTCTTCGATAGCCTGACCTGGGTTTGCTACACATTTGATTTAATATTATTGAGATTTGAGATATAACTTTGCCTCAATATTTTCTTTCTTTTTCAATAAATCACATAGGTAGTCATTTCGAATCTGTGTCGTTTCTTACTTCTCACTCCTATCTGACAAGACATTTTAGTCAATGAGGCTATAGTAGAGATTTCTATTGCGGCTATCCTGGTTTGTGGATACCAGTATTTGAGTAGTTGAGACTGCTTCAACCATCCTGACAGACGAAGACCTCAGCAAATAAATAGTAAGGTCCAATGTTGCTCTGTCAGATTCCCATAAGCTTCTTGGCTTCCGAGTAAATTATATAAAACGTAGCAATGATAATATTCCATCCAAGTTATTTTATCTTTAGCATTGCTACACATTCCACTGTACTTCCTTTCTCGTATGCTGTGCTATATCTTATTGATATAGATGACTATTCATTTCATTTAGATTCATCTTTCAACGTTCTATATTATACACACTTTTGCTTCGTTAGCGCGTCTGGAGTTACTAATGACTCAGATTGTTTTTAACATAATATGTGTTTTATCTACTATGTGAGTCAACAGTGCTTTATTTATCTATAAACAATTTTGTATGTACCCTACTTGAACGAAATTATCTAGCAACATGTGTAAAGCTATTTCTAGGTGTAGGTATGCTTGCTTTTCAAACATACAGGGTTTGTCCAGAAAGTAATAGGACTGAGTCGATTTGAAAAAATGTATTGAGCCAATCGTTACAATTCTTTAAAGACTTTCAAAATAGGCTCATTCTGCGTCGATGCAGCGCTGCCAGCGCGATTTCCAAGCATTGAAGGCGTCACGGAAGGCATTCTCCGGAATAGCCTTGAGAGCCGCGGTGCATGCTTCTTGGATCCCCTCTGTCGTCTCAAAATTCTTGCCTTTCAACGGCCTTTTCAGGCGAGGAAACAGAAAAAAGTCCGGGGGGGGGGGCACATCTGGGTTGTAGGGCGGCTGCGGAAGCGTTGGGATGCCGGCCTTGGTCAGGTAGCTGTTCACAAGAAAGGCGGTGTGAGCCGGTGCGTTGTGGTGCAACGTCCAGTCGGCTGCGATGTCTTGTCGGACCCGACTGACCCTTTGTTTGAGTCTCCTGAGCACTTCCACGTAAAACTTGGCGTTGACGGTTTGTCCAGGAGGAACAATTTCATGGTGGATGATGCCTTTGATGTCAAAAAAGACAATGAGCATCGTTTTCACTTTGGATTTGCTCATTCTTCCCTTTTTTGCGCGAGGAGACGCCGTCGTGTGCCACTCGGAAGATTGCTTCTTTGTCTCGGGATCATACTCAAAGATCCACGACTCGTCACCTGTGATTACGTTATCTATTCAAAAACTGAGGGTCACTTTCACACATGTTCAAATTTTCTTGGCACACTTCCACTCGCCGCGATTTCTGGTCGTCAGTGAGCACTTTTGGGACCATCTTCGCGCACACCTTGCGCATGTTCAAACGCTGTGTTACAATGTCATGAACCACAGATTTTGGTAAATTTAACATCTGGGCAATTAAACGAATACTTAGTCGACGATCTGAGTTCAAAACTTTGCGCACACGAGTCACATTATCGGTGTTTGTCGAAGTCGAAGGTCTTCCAGCACGGTCTTCATCAGCGACCTCTTCCCGTCCCTCCCAAAAGACCTGGTGCCACCGAAACACACCACTTCTTGCTAAAGCAACACCTGGGTAAGCCTGCTTGATCATATCAAACGTCTCTGTCGCAGATTTACCGAGTTTCACACAGAATTTAATCGCGTACTTCTGCTCTAACGATCGCTGCATTTTCGGCTTGCACCACTCGTAGAAACACGTCGCGCGAAAATGCCTGTCCTGACTCTCCAAGTGCTCGGAGACAACTGACCAGCCGCTCACTCGTTAGCTAGGAACGCCCTCTACCGAATCCAGTCGGTGCGCGCACGCTCCAAAGTGCAGTCGTGGCGGAAGAAAATGAGTCCTATTACTTTCCGGACATACCCTGTAATACGGCGGTATTAGATCTTCTCATGATCTGTTAGCAAGAAATCAGACTGCAAGACGGCCCAATGTTATGATTCTTAGTAAGATTTTTGAATGATATAATATATTTGTAGTTAGGTATGTACTCAGGGTTATGCAAAACTAAATCCAGAGAGACGAATAATAGATGGAAGTTAAAAAAATTCAAATACCTGTTTTTGTAACTCATAGTTGAGATACATAGTTGATTTACTTGAGGGAGTACTGCTAAACTACAACCCTAACGAGTTGGCAGTTGGGCTAGGACGTAGAAAGGAAAAACATGAGGAATTTTGGAAAACATTTTAGCCCTCGAGAAACTGTGTGATTGACTATTTACTAGATCATCACAAACATTTTAAATAAGTATGTCTTTTTACATTAAAGAGTATTAACATCGAGTTTGAGTTTTGTCGCACCTCTAAGGGTTGAAAATTTAAATAAGACAGTACAAGTTTGTTACCTTAGAAATATGTTTTGCTCAAACCTTCGGCTGCTTTATTACATGGTGCTAGACATGTATCCTTCTCTGATTGAAGTAAATTGTGGGTAGAAATACGAAAAATCATATTTTTCGCAATTTTTACGTTATTTCCATGGATAATTTACTAGAACTAGGTGCAAAAGAATAGGCAGCAACATACGGCAATATTTTTAGTGCGGCTCAGCTAATTGCTTTTAACCAGAAGCTCTGAAATGTATGTGTTTGTACAATGGATACGACGTTGCCAATATATAGCTGATATAGCTATATATATACAACGTTCTAGCCATATTCTGGAATACATTCATGATGGATGGCCTATACTCGACATAATTATAGCAAAATATTGCAACAAAAATACTGCTAGCTTTGAGGCTTCATTACAGATATCTGACAATATATTGTCAAAGTTAAACTGAAAAGTCAATGTGCGATATAAACTCAGTATGGAACCAATAAAATCACTGTGACCAATATTTGTCAGATGAGTGCGCGCTCGCTTCAGTCAGAAGCAGATACAGACTCGGCGGTACACAGTTGGATTGTGTTGCAAGCACTTCGTTGACCTGTGCATTGTTCAGCATTGAAGTGCTTAAATACATTTCTGTATCTGGATGACTGTTTTAAATTAGAATAGAAGAGTCTTTAAGATAACTTCAGCGAAAAAGCTACGAGGTCCTCTATCCTTATAGATCGGAAGTTACTGCTTGGATTATAATGCAATTTTGGCACAAAGCTACCGCTATGTCAATGCTGGAAGACCCTTCAATGCTCTCACCAACAGATACGCAGGAACAAGTAAAAATGGAAAATTTGAGATCGTCAACAGTGAATGTTTTCGGAGTTGCAAATCATTTTTTTGACGTAGCCTAAAAGTTCATGGGGATGACCACCTCGAAAATGCGGAAATTTGTTATTTAAAGTTTTTCTACTTTTTGGTTATTTCGGGCCGAAGTGGAAATATAGGTTGTTCAACAATTCTGAAACCAGGCATGCTTTCCATGGTTGCATACAGGGTTTGGCCGAAAAGTAATAGGACTGAGTCGATTTAAAAAAAATTATTGAGCCAATCGTTACAATTCTTTAAAAACTTTCAAAATAGGCTCCTTCTGCGTCGATGCAGCGCTGCCAGCGCAATTTCCAAGCATTGAAGGCGTCACGGAAAATGCTTGCCTTTCATTGGCCTTTTCAGGCGAGGAAACAAAAAAAGTCCGAAGGGCCACATCTGGGCTGTAGGGCGGCTGCGGAAGCGTTGGGATGGCGGCCTTGGTCAGGTAGCTGTTAACAAGAAAGGCGGCGTGAGCCGGGGCGTTGTCGTGGTGCAACTTCCAGTCGGCTGCGATGTCGTGTCGGACCCGACTGACCCTTCGTTTGAGTCTCCTGAGCACATCCACGTAAAACTTGTCGGTTTGTCCAGGAGTAACAAATTCATGGTGGACGATGCCTTTGATGTCAAAAAAGACAACGAGCATCGTTTTCACTTTGGATTTGCTCATTTTTCCTTTTTTTGGGCGAGGAGACGCCGTCGTGTGCCACTCGGAAGATTGCCTCTTTGTCTCGGGATCATACTCAAAGATCCATGACTCGTCACCTGTGATTACGTTATTCAAAAATTGGGGGTCACTTTCACACATGTTCAAATTTTCTTTGCACACTTCCACTCGCCGCAATTTCTGGTCGTCAGTGAGCACTTTTGGGACCATCTTCGCGCACACCTTGCGCATGTTCAAATGCTGTGTCACAATGTCATGAACCACAGATTTTGGTAAATTTAACATCTGGGCAAATAAACGAATACTTAGTCGACGGTCTGAGTTCAAAATTTTGCGCACACGAGTCACATTATCGGGGTTTGTCGAAGTCGAAGGTCTTCCAGCACGGTCTTCATCAGCGACCTCTTCCCGGCCCTTCAAAAAGGCCTGATGCCACCGAAACACACCACTTCTTGCTAAAGCAACACCTGGGTAAGCCTGCTTGATCATATCAAACGTCTCTGTCGCAGATTTACCGAACGCTGCATTTTCGTCTTGCACCACTCACAGAAACACGTCGCGCGAAAATGCCTGTCCTGACTCTCCAAGTGCTCAGAGACAACTGACCAGCCGCTCATCCGTTAGCTAGGAACGCCCTCTACCGAATCCAGTACAGTCATGGCGGAAAAAAATGAGTCCTATTACTTTCCGGACAAACCCAGTATGTCGCTAACAACGCTTACAACTTCTATGTACTTAAAATATCTCTGAACTTCATTTGATCAATTTGAGTGTAAGTTTGATCCTCTTAATAGTAATTTATGGGAAGAGTGTTCGTATAAGTATAGATACCAATGTGTGTTCTCATGTAATTCTTGAAAAAAAGGTGAATTTTCGTGTTTCGCAAAATTATGTGGCTATAAACTAATAAATTGACTGCGTCATCAAAAAACACAAAGTAATTGTCCGTGGAGATAATGACGCGTGCGGCTATGCCTAAATAAGCTATCAGACTATTTAAATATAGCACGAGGAATTTTTGCGAAAATATCTATATTTAACATTGACACAATCCAGACCGAATGACGATAGGAGTAATACTAGCGAACACATCTCGATATATAATATATAATCTTGTTGCCTCATGTATTGGCCTGTCGAAAATGGATTGTTGGAAAGAACCGAATCTGTACTGAAAATTACTGAAGATTTTGCTTGAGTGTAGTTTCTGGGTTGCCTATTATGTGATATGAAGTTGTTTCCAAAATACAGATTTGACGTTGCTTACGTTGAATATAGTTATTTACATAGGGTTGTTCATGAACTGTTGAAATCCACCAAAAGCTTTGATCAACCTATAAGATCTTATTTTCCACCACCTTGTAATCGATTTTTAGGTTCTAACCGCAAACATCGGTACTGTTCTCGACTTGTACGGCGTGGAGCGAGGTCTCGAGCATTTCAGAAGCACAAACACCTTGAATTTCGACCAGTACAAGTACTATCTTCAAAAGGAGGTGTTTTCATCGTTTCCAACCAGGCTGCAGCTGTCCGAGCTCAGGGAATATGAAAATAAGATAGCAGGAGTTTGCTGGTTGGTCTGCAGGAAGAAGTATCTACAGAGGGATGTGAAGATGTTTTCGGACGATGCAGTGTTTCAGATTTTCAGGATATTTTGCGTTTTGGCGGAATTGGTTCCGGAACAAAATAACGATAATACATATCAGGTAAAAATTATTATTGATGAAATAGTCATGTTACCATTGTAGGTTGAATTTTTGGGTGGTACATACAGATATTTAATGTAATTATAATGAAAGCACGAAATTTTTAAATTACTTTGCTGCCAAATGTATTGATCTCCACTAATGATGATGTATTAGTTTTATTTAAGCTTTAAATCAATAAATCTTCAAAACTACTGAACTGAAGTACATTAATTTTATATCATTATAAAGGGAATTGAATGACCTTTAAAATAAGGTATCACTCGACCCCCCTTTCCACCCCCCCGCTTAGGGGGCTGCACGTGCTAACGTGATTTTTTGCCAAACTTGTGTATTTAAAAAAAAAACTAAGCTGCCAGTAAATGTGTTTGTTTCGTTTTCGATGCGCCACCCTGTATAGTATATAGCTATAATGACTTTAGAAACTATTTTGATACCTGCACCATATCAATTTCTACTATTAAGAGAGTATGTAAAAGTGGTAGTCTTTTTAGAGCTACCACAGTTTTAATAAGTTTAGAGTAGTGGTAGTTTTCCTGTGAATTCTTACTAAGCATGTATGTGGATACAATTATTTTGTGACTATTACCTTTAATATACTGCTTTGTATTTGCCAAACTTGTGTTTTTAAAAAAAAAAACTGAGCTGCCAGTAAATGTGTTTGTTTCGTTTTCGATGCTTCCCACCAGTAACTGGTTTGTAAACTGTTGGAGGTGTAAATAAATAAATAAACAAATATTTGCAGGCACTCTTGCACCCAACAGAAGTATGTACAATTGCTCAAACGATAGCCAGTTCCCTCGGATGTGACTTTGATGATGAAGACTTCACCAGCCTCAGCATATCCATGGGCAACTTCCGACTGACGCCATTCATCGCGGTGCTGGAATCCAGATGTCTAGATGGAGTCAAAGACAGCGCTGCCATCGCACAGGCAGCCACAGATGTCTATCAGAAGATTGTTGAAGATGTGATCAAAAAGGGCTTTCTTTCAAAGAGGGGCTACATCTTTCCATCGATGAGAGAATACTGGTTCGTACTCAGACCTTCCGAACTCACTTACTACAAAGCGAGAAGTGAGAAAGACAAGTGCGGGACATTGCCCATCGAGCCAGGATGTAAAGTTGAACCTAAGACTGGATACAAAATCTTGCTACATTCATCCGAAAGGACGTACGAGCTTGGAACTACTGATCACATGTCTAGGTTGCAGTGGATTTCAGCGCTGCAGCTGGCTTCCGATCACGCAGGTAGGTACATTTTATTTATAAGAAATAAAGGATAATTGTGGGCATGTCCGCAATAAATTGGTAACCCGAGCGACCAACGTTTCTGCGTATTGGCTTCATCAGGCCTAAATGTATGTACATCGAAAACATGTCAAAACGTATGCCCATCACAACTGGATGCGGGTGTAACCTGAACGAAAACAAAGACGGAAAGGAAAATAGATCTAGAAGCCACCAACAAGGGTCAGCATTCACATTTGTGGCAACTTTGCCACCTGCCGTGGTACTTCCAGGCCATGCGTAAATACAAATAAAGGCAAGCAGTCTTGTGGAAACAGATGGAGAATAAAGGACAATCGTGGGCATCCTTCTATTTCTGCTCCTGTTCCTTTATTGCGGACATGTCCATGATTGTCCTTTGTTTTTCATCGAAGTTTCCACAAGACTACTTGTCATTTATTTCGTAAATTCAATATAATTTAAATGGGTATGTACGTTATTCCAGGAATAAAAACTATAGTAAGATAAGTATAAAAACAATATTACTTAAACTAATTTCAAAAAAATATATGTCACTTGAAAATACTATGTGTTTTAAATTTGAACATTACCGCCTATATAACAATTTTCTAGATATATAGGAACGAGTTTTTTTTAATCAATACATCATTTTAAAATACATGGCGTTCAAAGTATGTTGAATTCAATCGGAAACAATAGAAAAATAATAACAGTAATTATGCTTATGTGTAGGATGTTTCCACAGCTATCTGAGGTTGAACTTGAATTTCACCTTGACCTTCAAAGTCGTTTCAAGTCGTTTTTTTTTCAATAAGACCTCATACCTTTGACGCCGAAAATTGTTAAAGTGTAGTATTTTACTTTCAGAAGAAAAAATTGGACTTTGGACATGGTCAAGCTTTAATATCTTATTGATAAATGAAAGTGCTTAGCATGAGCTTTGGTATTTTCTCTGAATATATGACACTGAACTTGACCTTCAAGGCCGTTTCAAGGTCAATACTATTTTTTTAATTATATCTTCAACGCCTAAAGCCGCTTATTCACTAAGCGAACGCATACGGCCGCACGGTGATGAACGTATGCGTTCAGTCAATGTGGACGTGAATAATTTATGGAATTTCGCAAGCGTATGAAGATGCCATCCACCAGCGTCGTTTTCTTTGTCTCTTTTTTTATATCCTCACTAAGTATTGTATATGATGCACTAACAATTAACACTAATTCATCATCGGTCATTTTTATAACTGCAAAACAACGACTTGCCGGAAAGCGGACGAACAATACCACACGTATGCGATCACTAGACTGTGGATGTCGAAACAAAAATTCGACCAAACATCGCATATTTTTGCCTCATGCGTGCGTTGCTGTTCGGTTTGGTCACGTTCGCTATATAGTCTAATCATTTTAGACGAAAATACCCCTGGTTTGCGAAATAATTGTGGTTTTGCTGCAAGTTGTTCAAGGGGGTATTCAAAACATGGGGACGCATAAAATGATTACACCAATGTTTGTGGGAAAACTTTTCATTCGACAACAAAGAATAAGAAAACGTGTTGTTTCTTGGGATTCAATCGAAAGTGTTGGTAGGAACGACAACACTCTTAATATAAGATTTTTAGGTATTTATGAGACCTACAAAATGAGACCACATGTAAGAAGATCCGATTAATAGCAAACAAGTTATGATCGACAACCGAGACAAACTGCAGGTTTTGGCACTTGTTGGTAATGCGTCAATGGTTTCTCGTAGATATTTGAAATACTTCAAATTCGTATGATTTGTACTTCTAAATAACCACAACCAAATTGGGGTAGATTGGTTAAGTAGTTTTTGAGAATGTCTTATTGTTTATCCCAAAACACCTGTTTTCCGGCCATCACTAGTTTATTGAGCAATATCTAGGGTTAGTTCAAAGGACATTTTATAACAAAATACACTAATCTACCTTGCCGATATGAATCGCAAACCATTCCGGAAGATAAATGTTATTTTTATGCAAAAAGGGATGGGTTACGTTTTTTCTTCTAAACAAATTCAAACATTCCGTATTTGTGTGTAATTCGCAACAAAAAATGAGACACATCCACTTTGTTTTAAAATGTGTATAGTCACGTATGTTTTTCGAATATCGTAGCGCATTTGTTCAATTACTCACAACTACGAAATGTTAGAATTTGTTGAGAATTTGTTTTCCGCATAAAAATAACATTTATCTCTCGGAATAGGTTGTGATTCATATCGGCAAGGTAAATACGTGTATTTTGCTGTTAAATGCTCTTTGAACGAACCCTGTATATTGCTCAATAAACTAGTAGTGATGACCGGAAAACAAGTGTCTTAGAATAAACAATTAGATATTTTCAAAAAACTACTTGACCAATATACTTCAATTTTGTTGTTATTTAGAAGTACGAATCCTACGGATTTGAAGCATTTCAATTAGTTGCGTGAAATTATCGTCGCATTACCAACAAATGTCAAAACCTGCATTTTGCCTCGTTTTTCGGCCATAACATTTTTGCTATTAGCCGAATCTTTTTGCATGTGGTCTCATTTTGTAGGTCTCATAAATACCAAAAAATGTTATATGAATAGTTATTTCGTTCCTTTCAACACTTTCGATTGAATCCCAAAAAACACGTTTTCCCGTTCTTTGTTGTGAAATAAAAAGTTTTTTTACAAAAATTGGTATACCCATTTTATGCGTCCATGTTTTAAATACCCCCTTGAATAACTTGCATTAATAAAACCAGACTTTATTAGTTCGGGGAAATTTGCTAGTATGATTTGCTAGTGAATACGCGTCCTGAGAGAAAAATTTTACGTAACGATGACCTTAAAAGAATGTGACTTTTGATGGTCGATGAAATAATCTGTAAAAGAAACTGTCCGAGCAGGTTATTTGAAACTGACTTTGAGATTGAACTTGAACTCCAATATCATTTCAAGGTCATTTATTTAAATGCGATCTTATATGTTTAACGCCTCGTTCCAGGTATAACACACACCGGCATATGGCGACGTCGCCAGGTTAATTTGGCCACAGATTTTGGCGTGCCAGTGGGAGAGGGCCATTAGGGGCTAAAGTTTATAATGATGTACCATGAGTTACTGAGAAAAAGCTAATATATCAGAGCTTAGATGTAACCACCTTCTATCAGTTAGCACAGGCAGACCATAGTAATGTTATTTTCTTATACCGAAGCATAAGCCGAAATACCGAGGCACCTCGGCTGCTATAAGGAGCTTAAAGACACTTTGTTAGTCCTAAGAATAGTAGAACTAGGAAGGCCTCCTCAGGTAGATTGTTGAACAGTTTAGAAACTCTAGGGACAAAGGATCGGTCCGACCAACCAGTTCTGAATGTACGAAGTTCGATGTTCCGTTGACATAGTAAGGGAAGAGAGAGTGATTGAATAGACTCGGGACGGCAGCATCCTAAAAATGTGAGCAGTATTCGAAGCTGGGTCTTATCTGGGCATTGGACATAGTGAAAAGGTTCAGTGGAGAAAAGTACTTTTCACTCTTAAACTTTCGCTTTCGCTTTTGACGAGATGTTTATGCCAAATCAAGTAGTCGGTGAACTGTCATGCCGAAATGATCGGCTTTTTGGTAGAACTCCGCCATCCATTGAAATCGAAAGAACGTTAGGGCTGTTAGTCAAGGTACTGAACCAGATTGTTGAGTCCCCAATTAGTGTTAGCCTACAGACCGTTCGTCAGAGAGTGTGCTCTTTCCTCTACCTTTTCGTGAGCTTATTGGAGATTATTTGTCACTTTTTTATACTTGGACCACCACGAATTCCTAAGGTCTAAAAAGCCGTAGGTACTTCTGGGTCTGTACAAATTCTGGCCCCGCTTTAGAAAACCGCCGGGTGGTACCTCCACGTTCTGAGACCGTGTACCACTTACGGATACTCGCAGCATCCATAGTCAAGAGGAATCCTTTACGTTTTTTGCAACGCCATAAGCATCTTAACAGTGAACTTTCTCTAGGTGGATTTCAAAGTTACCAACGGCTACAGGCAGCCAAGAGACGTCTCCAAAGACAGGGTCGAATTCAAGAAATGATTAGGGCTCGAGCTCAACTACAACAGGAAAGGAACGCAAGACAAGCTGCGGAAGGACAGGCCAAAGAACTGGAAGCTGTAGTGAAAGAAGAAGCAAAGAAACTAACGGAGCTTGAGCAATTGAGGGTCAAACTGGAGAAGTTACTAGAGGAGGAAACGCAAGCGAAAAGAGATGAAGAAATCGTTAGATCGTAAGTACATTTACCTCTTGTAATGGATAGTGGAGGTTCGTTAGACATAAAAACACGAAAGCCTCTGAACTCATCATGCCCACTAAACGGATTTTTCGTATTTTTAGAAGATTCTGTTTGAAATAATGCATGTTTAGCTATTAATTTTATGCGCTTCTTGATGTTACCTTTTATTAACTTTTTCAAATCCCCTTTTCTTTGTATACAGGGTGATTCACAAGTCGTGACCAAAAATGAAACATCATACACAGGACCGCATTTTAAGGGGGGTCTTCTATGTAATACTTTTTCCTCGGGGGCTTCATTAACAAGATCTGGGGTGTTTAAGTTTAAAAATAAAAACAATTTTTCAAAACCGTCAACTGGAATGAAGTAAAATTTGCTATGTGGTATTGTCTACATTTAAAAGTTTTTAGTTAACGTGCACCAGTGGCGGAGATATAGGGGATTAGTGGCATTATTTTTCCAAATAAAAATAGTTCGCCACTGTTTTTTTTTCGGATCGCGCAATTTTTCGAATTTTACCTTCAATTTGCTGCAAATAATTACTCTTGTTTTTTCCTAGAGGGCATTGTTTGCGTAAAAATAAAAAACAAATTAGATTATTCCAATAAATGGTCAGAAAGACCGCCATTCTGACGGATACAAGGGCGCCATCTTTTTAATAAAGAAAAACGTATTTCCGCAAAATTTGTTGTGACGAATTTGATGAAACGCATTATCAATTCTTTCTAACTGGTCAACAGTATTAATTTGTTCAGCATACACTAGTTGTTTAAAAGCGCCCCAACGTTGTCTAAAATGATTACTTAACCATGCGGTTATGTCATGACGAACATTCGGTGGGGACGTGCTGATACGACATTCGTACTCTCATTGCTAACAGAACATAACATCATCTAACACATTTTCTATGTAATTCTCTAGAAAAGCCAAGTATGAACTTGCATTTAAACGTTGTGACAATATGTGCATAAACAGTTGGCCATTGAAAATGCCGCACCAGACATTTCTAGGAAATCTTTGTTGAAACGGGTGGATTGTTACAGAACGATGATTTCCTAACGACCAAATTCATCATGTTCATTATGAGAATTAAAGGTTCCACTCCTTGTAAAAAGCGATTCATCTGACCACAAAACCAAATTAATAAAATCTGAATTTTGATTATGCATTTGCAGTGATCACCCACAAAAATTTCTCTCTTCGTTGCTGGGTTGCAGACATTACACATTTTGCCGATGGTAAGGATTCCAAACTTTCCGATTTAAAATTCTCCACGCAAGACTTTGCGAGCATGGTAACTGGGCTCCTCGCAGAGTAAGTCTGATCTTGTGCAGATTTCATGGACCCAGTCTGAACACCTCGTATATTGGAGCCAATCGCATTTCCTGATTGCATTCTCCTCATTCAGGTCCTAACAGGCACAGAATATGTTCGACTAATTTGCCTTACTGAACCACGACCATCTCTAACGCCTGAGATTGCATTTGTCAGATCTTCTGCTGACCACATGGCTCTCAAATTTTTCTTGGTGTGATTTCGTAGCATCTTCCTTGCTCTGAAAGTTTAAAATGGTAAATGCCACATATGGGGATAATATTCTGCATTTTGAGGTTAATATGCTACACTGTTATGCCATATTACCCCAAAGTGTGTCTTCCAGATTTAGTAAATTGTAAACTCATGTCTGGTGAAACCTGGTTATCCTACGCGGCATAAAAAGTTAGGTTATATATAGTAGATTCATATGTCCCTACTGGGAATTGCAACAAAAGACTTACAATTTGCCTTTACATCGCCAAAATCTTATCACAAAATAATTTGAAGAATGCACTTACCTTGTATCTTCGTAATTTTTCCCAAACACTGGTAAATATTCGTCTTTATATTTTAGCGAAGAAAACAGCATAACAACGTGCACTTGACGCCTACTCCGGTGCACTCTACCGATTTATAACGGAAATCTGGAACTGCGGCGTATTATCCAAGGTGCCATAATACCCCACTTTACTCCTAAGAAGCCGCTAAATCATTTCCATTACAGAATAATATCGGCGAACTCATTATTGCTAAATTCCATTTCGCAACACTCAAAAATGGAAAAAAGAAACTTCTGACTTGACCTTTAATAAAATGGTAGTAGTAACGATAAAAACAAACTATCTCAGTGGTGTACTATTTTTATTTGGAAAAATAATGCCACTAATTCCCTGTATCTCCGCCACTGGTGCACATCAATTTTAAGTAAAGACTTTTGAATGAGGACAATACTTAGGCAAATTCACATATCAAATGTTTTTTTATTTTCAAACTCCAACTCTTTTTAATGCAGCCCTCGAGGAAAAAATGTTAGATAGAAGACTAAAATGCGCTCCTGTGTATGTTTCATTTTTGGTCACGACTTGTGAATCACCCTGTATAATTATTCCGGATGCTTTATTATCTAATAGATCTCATTAAACGAAACAAAACAGTTTAAGTAAACGTAGGTATTTTGACTCATTTCTTTGAATCTACCTTGAATTTCTCTTAAATTAGATGAGTGATTCAGGAGAAAATCTACGATTCAATGGCAGATATTGATTAATCTGTATTGGTTATATCCAACTGAATTATTCCAGAGGTGAATCTATCAAATTCTAGCGGAGTACTCCAGAGTTGAACTAAGCACGCTACTGGATTTTTTTGTCGGTGTGGTTGAGGAATTTTCTGCTGTTGTAAACAAGTACTTTTAAGAGCTCATTAAACAGAAATATAGGAATACCCATGTGGATCGCCCTAGATTCATCAGGAAACTAGGAAATCAACGGAACCTGCAGTTTTTGATTGTAGCGTATTTTTATTTCGCATTCTTATGGATAATAATTGGAAGAATAGCTTTATGATGAATCGCACTTTACGTAGCTGTTAAGAAAGACTATTTGAAATCCTTGATTTCCCATATAGACCCATCATTTTACCCACAAAGTAGTTGCTAAAAGTCTATCGATAGAATGAGCCAACAATGAGTGATTTTTTGTCTAGATTACAAGCTAGAGTTCTTGCAGAGGAATGGGAAAAGCGAGAAGAACTCGAAAGGTTACAAGAAGAACAGAAATTGCTTCTGGAGGAAGAACGGGAGAAAAGGAAGGAATACGAAGAACTACAGAGGGAGAAAGAAAGGCAACTTAGAAGTAAGTTCATTTAGTTTCAGTATATTTTTCAAAATCTGGTCATCCATCTCGATACTTTCACTCCTTTTATGATAAGGTATTTTTTTTGTAAGTTTGCAAGTTGAAATGTCTCCCGAATGTTGCTTTTTGACAGAGTGGAGAAGCGGAAGACTTAATTGTCGAATGTTATGTTGAGCATCTAATTCAATATGAGTGCATATCTATTGATCTGTAAGAAATTGTGTTTACTTCATCAGATGCTGAAGAACGTCTTGCTCAACTAGAAAAGGAACGTCAAGATCTGGACAAACAGCTCAATTCGGCAAAAGAAAAAATGAAGAATTCTGAAGACAAAAAAGAACTGCTAGAAGCCAAGTTATTCCAGGTGGCTCCGATTATAAGGGAAGGTGAAAGAGTTAGAAGAGCTCATTCTTTTATGCCCAGCACCAAGGAACGACCTATATTACTAGAAGTCAGGTCCTCCACGTTGAAGAGGCCAAATAAAAACAACATGTAGGGATAAATTAATAATTTATTTTTATTCACACCAATTTTGATATCGTTGATTATGTAAACTAACAGCATTTGTTTTTGTATATGTTCATAATAAAAATGTATTATCAAAAAATATGCAGCACATCCGTCATTTTAATCTAGTATAACTATTCTGAGATAATTTAGTGCAAAAGCCTCGAGTGTTACTCAAGCGCATAATACAGGTTTTCTACTTAGATCAGTAAATGAACACTTTTGATCTGACCAAAATTCTTAGGTTGATGAAGTATTCCTGGTTCCGGATCCTACCGTAGGCAGGATTTTAAAGCCTTTGATTTTTGATTTTTTTGTTGCAGTTCTGGAAATATTATATATAAAAAAAGATGTTTAAAGAATTTTGTAGCTGAATAAATAAGTTTCAAAAGTTGTCCTGGCGAGATTTTCATATCTACGTTCGTTCACGAGATCTCCTTAGGCCTTGCGTAAAAGCTCGTATGTGGGATGTTTGATGCATCCGATTGATAAAATCGTTTTTTGATCCATTTACCAATAAATGAAAATTGAATCACAAATATATAGATATTTACGTCTAACTACGAAGAAATAACACGTGTCCGTGTTATACTTCAAGAGAAAACGAAGCTTGGACAATAGTCTGCAGATACAGCACATGTCCAGGACATGTGCTGTTTCTGCGGAACAAATTATATCGGTAGCGGTCTTCTTGGTCATGCGCATCTACCGCAAATGATTTTCTCCTTGTCTAATCGCTTGCATCAAAAAATGTGAGAGAACCTTATTTTGGTAAAAAATAGAGTTTGCTTATTTTATTTTTTGCTAATCTCGTCAGTAGTCGTTTTGTGGTCCGCTGTAGTGTTTACTAGTACGCGATGGATTCCACTGAAAACGAAAGTTCTTCCCATCGAAAGAAGAGGGCAAATCCTGATTGCTACCAAAGAAGCATTATTAAAAAGGCACCTGTAAAAGGCGAACCTTATAAAAACTACAAGGGTAATAATATTCCTGGCAAAATACTTGGCTCAGCTTGCAGGTAACTTTAGAACGGCTTTTTATTTCTGCTTGACTTCTGAAAAATGTTTTATCTTTTAGCTGTCGAGCAAAATGTTTTGATAAATTCTCCAACGAAGAACTGCAATCAAATGTGGTGCGCTTTATTTCTCTTGAATCTAAGGATGAATAGGACATATTTCTGCAAGGACTGATAGAGGTTCGAAGTATACAGCGGCGGCGCGCTAGGGTTGAGGTGGGAACTAAAGCAAAATCCAATACCTTTAAATACTACACATTCAAAGGTTCAGATAAGATTGAAGTTTGTTTGAAAGCAGTTATCTCAGTCTATGGTATAACTTTGGGTCGAGTTCGAAGACTTAAAGATCTTGCCGTGCTAGGAAAATCCCCTAGAGACTTACGTGGAAAAGATCCAAGTGTAATAAACTCGGCGAAGAAGTTCAGTTTGCTGTTCGAGAACACATTCAGTCGTTTCCCGTTAAATTAAGCCATTGTGCAAATCGAGAAGTTAAGTACTTAAATAGTGAGCTGAATTTAAAGATTATGTACGACTTATTTAAGGAAAAATACCCCACATTGAAAGTTAGCTACCCATATTACACAAAGTATTTTCGAGAAAATTTTTCTTTGAGATTCGGACGCCCTCAAGTTGATATGTGTGCAACATGTGAGACTTTAAGCAACAAAACAAAAAACACGCACTTAAATGATACTTCCAAACGAGCAGCAGCTGCACAGCTGCTAGTCCATAAACGGCGAACAAAAAAATTTTATGCAAAACTGAAAAGCGAGTCTAATGAACCTTGTGATTCAAAAAATATTGTAGCTTTAGCTTTCGACTTTATGCAAAATGTTCAGCTGCTAAAAACACCTGTAGGTGATGTTTTTTATTACCAGCAACTGACCATTTCGGTGTTTTGTATACATAATATTAAGGAAAATACTGCACGAATGTATATATATCATGAAGGGCAAGCGAAGAAAGCTGCCAACGAGATTTGCTCTTTTCTTTTGGATTACCTTAAGGATGTTCCCAGAAATAATATAAATGAGATCCACTTATACAGTGACAACTGCTGGGGACAAAATAAGAATCACACTTTGGTTCGCATGCTTCTTGCACTGACACATAGTAGCCAGTGTTCCAAAATCGTACACTATTTTTATTTTATTATTAAGAGGTCACTCTTTCCTTTCCTGCGATAGAGACCTTGCTATTGCGAAGAGAAAACTAAAAAACATGACAGAATCTCCACGGTTCATCAACTAACCGAATTGATTGTAATGAGCAGCAAGTCGAATAAATTTTCAGTTAAAGAAGTAAAAACAGAAGATATTATAAACTTTAAAGAGTGGTGGCCAAAACTACACAAAAAAACGTAATATCTGAGGAAACTTCTTCCAACATTACTCCACGTAAGTTAAAGGTCCATTTCAATATAAGTACCTATTCACGTTACGACACACAAAGAAAGGGTTGCGTCGAGGCTTCGAAATTCATAGACGGAGCTTTCCAACACACATTCAAACTCCAACAGTCAGGGAAGACTGCAGTAGCGTTACCTTCTCAACAGGCCTATCCACTGGGAAAAGTCCCTATAAAGATGACAAAAATGGAACACATAAGAAAATGTGCAGCGTTTGTAGAAGATGTATATCAAGAATTCTATACTTCAATACTTAGTTGGCCAACTACTTCCAATTAGAAATTACATGTTTGTTTTCAATTTCTAATAAATAATCACGTTCCATTAGACAACAGTATTTCAATTTCATCCTACGCTTTAGAAGGCTGTACAAACTTTTTCTTTTTATTTTGAACAAAATTAAATATTAGAAGATATTACAGCCGCCTTAAACTATAATTTCCAACCGTTAAACACAGGGCGCATTCATTTCAACAAATAATATAATGTTTTTTCCATTTCCTCGAAAATCACTTTTTTGGACATGTGTCGTTTCTGCAAACGCCGAACAATTATTGTACCAAAGAGAAAAAAAATTATTTTCTAGAAAAGAGATTATAGCTCAACAAAGTTAGACTATCCTTTAATCATTACTTTCAAGCAAATTTTAGTAAATATAAAACCTCAATACTAAAAGTACGAGGAGTTGAAAGTATACTTCAATGAAGGTACTAGTTTTCTGTATATGTTGTTTTATTTAAATAATGTTTATATTTCATGGACAAGTTCAAAAAGTAACAGTATTCTTGTAAAAACCGCTAAACTTTTTTCATTGTACACAGTTTACGGTGATAATTTGAGAATTTACTTAATAATAAATTCAGAAAATAATGTGCCTACTTGGACTGTTTAGCACAGGTAAAAACGAAAAGAATCCGCAAAGACGCAAAAGAATCACGCTGGTTTCAGTCAGTTGCACAATAATGCACCCAGAAACACAAATACTCATTTTGAAAGCTAGCAGCCGTCAGTTATTTTGGTGCAGTGGTAGAACATCTGCCTTGATTCAGCATCAACTATTTTTTATAGTGTTGCTAATATTTTGAGGTATAAAAACTGACAAAACTATTTCAAATAACCATAACATTTGTATATACCAAGCGGCCAACTTTCTGTATCAAGCACAAAGCTTTTTTGTACGCAGCTATGCGCATTTTTACATTATGGACTAAGCACAGCTCTACGAAAATTGACTTTATTTCATAAGAGATATGAAAATGTCATAGAACCAACTTTTGTATCATATTTATTAAACTCCGAACTTTTTTCTACATTTACAAGACCTTGACAAAAAATCAAAATTCAAAAAGTTTTTCTGCCTACCGCAGGATCAGGCACTTTTTACCGAGCTAAGGAAGACTAGTTCAGTTTCCTGAGTTTTCATTCATTATAGAATTTGGCTATGTTTTGGGACATCTTTGTTTCTTTACCGAGCTAATTTCAATTATGTTTTAACCACATTGTAACGTGTGTGTATTCCTCGTAGAAATTGCCATTCATCTATTTTAAAGTCTAGACAAGACACATAACAACCATTTATTTGATTAGTAATCGTTTGTTATGGATTATATCGACATATGCTGACGGTTGAAAATTAATTACGATTTCAATAGTCTCTTTGTGAAAAAAAAAATCCCGATTATGTGGAAGAAATTTGAGCATAATTTAGGTACTTGATTTTAGAAGCATTACGAAATAATTAATTTTTCAATACGACTCAAAGCCAACAAAGTCGCATCGTTTGAAAATTGGTAGTTGCAGATGCTTTAACAAGGGGAAAACACTATGTTACCTAAAGTGAAACTACTACAGAACTATGCCGTAGGGTCGACAGTCACATTCTTCTCGAATTTCGCATCAGGGTTCTGGAGTTCATCGAACACGTGACCCTTTATCTTCTTGTCTGATGCTAGTGCAAGGTTTGCATCACCTTGTCTCGTCACAGTTATCTTCTCTTTGGGTGCTGCAGAACATACATGGTTATGGAAATTTAAAATATACAATTCTACTTCGCAGGCCTACTGGTGAGTAAGTATTGTAATCGCGAAAGATTTCTAAAATGAGAGATAAGTATGTCTATTCGCTAATCCTTGGCCCGTATATAACTTGAAAAGTACCAATGGAGTTTGAATGAAAATTTCACACAAGAATAATATTAAACCAAGGATGGAAAAGCAGTGTATTTTTCGGTCTAGTGGCGACGAAAAAGAAAAACGCCAAAAACGAAAACAAAAAATCTTTCAAACATCGTTTTTTGGCGTTTCAAAGGCTCTAGATAATCTTCGGAAAAATTCTTGCGGGGCTTAAAAATCGAGTGTTAGGAATGCAAAGGCTTTAGGGGAGGTATATCTAAATTTTTTGACGTTGATATATCTATACGCTTCCAATCACAGTAATTCTATGCACATATTAGACATATTTCACTGATAATAGATGTCCCCATACATTTAATCTTAAAAGGTAAAAATATCTCCCAATCGCGTGTAGATACGTGCGACGTGGTCCGGCTGATGGTCGTGCGTAATGCAGTCGGCAGCCGCTTCCGTGCTGCTGTGAGCTGAATGCTGTAAGAGTCAATATCGTCGTCCACGCGGGATTAGTCATAGCGACGATTTTATGCGCCCGTCGGAATTTCTGTCAGAAGAGGAGAAAGGTCATTTAATGTTTTGATATATGTGTACATTTTTGAAGCTAACTAGTGCTGAACATCATCATTTACGAACTCTTGACAGCGTTGCTTGGAAAGTACAGAGCTAACTTGCTAACGCCATTTTTTATTGGTAATACTTACGTGTCTTTTTCTCCTTTTTGTCCTTTCCTAAGGAAATGAATCAGTTTCTTATTAGTTTTTAGCGCTGAGAGGGCTTAGTTTTTGTTCCTTTACCTTTACCTACGGCAGGAAAGTAATGTTAGTTTGAGTATATCACTTTCAATATGAGACAATGTTTTAAAATAAAATATAAGAACTAAAATGGCTGATAAGCGCCCTGGAGATGGGATTTATAGCTCTATACCTAACCACGACGAAACGGTGATAGCTATACAGGGTGTTTCGAATTCGATACGGGGGCAAAGTTGCGTATTTAGGGAGTCAACAAAATGCTGCCTAAGAAGTTTAGAAACTCCTGAGAGAGACGGAAAAAACTGAATTTTCTCAAAAATCGTTTTAACTTTTAACTTTATCCTGACTTTATTTGTAGTGGGATTCCAGAATAAATCGCAGATTAACATTACAACTTTTTCTCCTCTTCAAGAAGGCATAATTAGGATTTCAGAATTTCGTTTCTTGTCCTCCAGCAACAACTTTATTTTTTCGTTAAGACGCCATATTGGATTTTTGCACAGATAACTTAATGAAGTTCTTGAGTCTGATTCCAAAAATGTATAATAAATCATACACTGACATTGTCAAACGTTAATTATTTCAAAAAAGCAGAATTTCCTAGGTATATAGGCCTTAAAATGATCAGAGTCATTTGTCAGCATAGGGGAAAGTCGCCTAAATCGTACCATTTTTCGGAAAAATGTATAAAAAGCTAACATTTTCAATATTAAGGGGCTCTTTTTATTTTAAATATTTAACTAAATAATTTTTACATATTTCTACTTTCTTTTGTTGTGGCTACTTATCTAATTTAAGAGAAAAATACATTTTTTATAAACATTGCAAATGGTACGACTTGGGAAACCAGACGCCAAAATCGTACCACTAGGTTTCCTAAATCGTACTGATCTGCTATATCGTACCAGTTAAGTATGGTAGCATAACAGTAGTATTTAAACAAGAATACAAATTTTAATATGCTCGTGTGTAGATTGGTATTACAAAAAAAAAACGAAACAGGACAAACAATAATAACTAGATGTGTTATTTAGGAACAACTGTCACAAAAGTACGAAGAACTTCCTTCATAACTCGCACAAAGTTCATGGAACCAAAGCTTGCACAAGGAACACTGTATCATATTTTCTACTCGACACTCATTACATATAATATAAAGCCACTCATCCTCTACTATTTCTACCACTACGTCATTTGAACCATACGAAGCATTTTTCCTTTTTACTTTTTTCCGGTTGGCCATTGGCTATTTTTCTTTTTGCCAGTCTCTTTTTCTTTTCTTCGATAGTAGATTGCTTTGCTTTTAATTCGTCCTTATATGGGGTTGAAGTTAAAACTTTTGCAGCTTCTGCACGTTTACTTGCATTTTTCTGATTGCCAGGACTATTTGGAATTGGTAGAATGTCTTCGAAAGAAACATCGGGTGGTTGAGTTTCAGAGGTGGCGCACGATTTCTGTTTAAACTAAAAGCGCCAAGGGCACATCATCATCGCTCGAAGGTGTATCGTCAGCGTCCTTGCTTTCCGCTAGTGCTTTTTGTTTTGGTTCAGTTTGAAGATCTCCGCCTTCAAAATCAACATCTGTGAAAACGTTTCTATCCACAGGCCATATACCACATTTTTTAAATCCACTTATGGCATTTGCGACACATGCTGCTTTTCCATATCCTTCTCCGATTAATCGGGTCACCTGAAATTGACCGATTGTTCTCCCGGGATGTTCTCTCAACCATTTTTCAACCGATTGGTCATAATAGACCTGGAATGGCTTAAATACTGCCACATCAAGTGGTTGTAAACGGTGGGTTGTATGACCTGGCAGCTGTAAAATAATAACCCCATTCTCGCGGGCTATCTCAATATATACCTACCAGTATAAATTGCCTTAATCGTACCGGTACGATTTAGGCAATCTCTACTGGTACGATCAAGGCAACTTTACACCAAATAAATAAAGATAAAGTTTTTCTGGAAATTATAGAAATAACGTTATGTTTAAAGTTATCAAAAAGTGTATAAAAGTTGTTAATCTTAAAGGCATACAACAGATTTTAGGCTTAGTCAACTAAAATATCCAAAACTACTTACGGTAGATCGACCAAACTTTATATCACTTTGCCGCACAAAATAAAACGTTAAATATGTCGGGAGCGATACGCGCTACTGTCAAACTTTTGCTGGTATTACTGGTTGCCAACTTGAGGGTTTCTAATTGTGGTGAAAGATGTCTTACACATAAGCGTAATATCTGAAATATCGACAAGGTACGATTAAGGAGCCAGTACGATATAGGCGACTTTCCCCTATACAGGGTGACGGGAATATAGATGCGGAGCCGGTGGGGGGAGATATTAAAAGCCAATCTGAGTCGATTTTACTATAGGAACTACTGTCCGAAAATTAACCGTTTTCGAATTATACTAATGTTTAAGATTTTATAAAATTAACTTCCTTTATACGTTAACCAAGTCATAAAACTTCAAAATTGGGTGTTTCATTTGATTTTTTTTTGGTTTTACAATAAAAATATTCTAAAATACGAAAATTGTTACTCAAATTTACATTATTGACGTTATCTCATGCAGTAAGCTTCAAAATAGTTCGATTTTTGTTAAAAAAATTTTCGTTCATCTCAAAAGATTCAGTTTACTAGAAAAAGTCGCATGCAAATTTTTCGTACAAAATAATTAGAAAACATCTACGTTTCATTACCTTTCAAATGAGGTATAAAAAATCACCAATCGATGAAGAATTGGCAAAAATATGACTGTTATAAAAGAAGGAAGGAAAAAGCAATAAAAATACTACACTTACAAAATCATACCTTAATACAGGATAATTTGTTTGAAACTACATTTTTTTATTTTCATAATACATTTTCAATATGGCGCCCTCTATTTCTAATGCACACACGTGCTCTTCTTATGACAGCTGATTTTACTACTGCCGAATTCCTAAGAGAGGCTTGAATTTCTTGTGCTACATGTATTATCCTGTATCTGAGGTCTTCTATTGTGGGTACAGAATTTTGATCAGAGTATTCTAAAGTTTTCATGCGACCCCACAGAAAAAAGTCCATAGGTGTGAGATCGGGACTGCGTGGTGACCATGGGACTGGTCCGCCTCTCCCGATCCATCAATTCGGAAACTGAACATTTAACCAATTTCTAACACTTAGTCTGAAATGTGTCTTCAAGTAATTCAAATAGTACTTAAGAAATTTTCGTAAGCTTCTCCATTTAAGTTGTCGGGTAGAAAATGTGGTCCTATCAAACAGTTATTTATAATGCCCATCCAGACATTCAGACAAAATCGCCTTTGAGATCCTTTTGGTCTCTTCATATGAGGATTTCCTACTGCACGTTCACGCAACAAATCGCAAGAGCAGATTGAAGCGAGGGTGGGAGGGGGGTGACTAGTCTTACTTATCACACTATTCCGGTGGCAAAGTCCGATGTTCGCGGCTCTACCTGCTTCTTTTTGAGGGGTAATGAAACGTAGATATTTTAAAATTGTTTTGCACGAAAAATTTGTAGGTGATTGTTTCTAGTAAATTGAGTTTTTGAGATGAACGAAGATTTTTTTCACAAAAATTGAACTAGTTTGAAGCTTACTGCATGAGATAACGTCAATAATGTACATTTGAGTATCAATTTTCGTATTTTAGAATATTTTTATTGTAAAACCAAAAAAAATCAAATGAAACACCCAATTTTCAAAATTTATGAGTTGGTTAACGTATAAAGGACGTTAATTTTATCAAATCTTAAAAATTAGTATAATTCGAAAACGGCTTATTTTCGGACAGTAGTTCCTATAGTAAAATCGACTCAGATTGGCTTGTACTATCTCCCGCCACCAGCTCCGCATCTATTTTCCCGTCACCCTGTATAGAAGAATCTCTGACGTTGAAGATTATCATCGCTTACAATGCAACATTGCAAGGGTTGATGACTGGTGCTGCGAAAAGAGATTGGTTTTCAATGCTGCTAAGGGTCTTGTTTTGACGTTTACTTTAAAAACAGAGGTAATGATGTATGCATACAGCATTGGTGGCAGAAAACTTGACCAATACAATTAATTGGGAGCCACATTTGACAGAAACTATATTTCTTCTGTTACACTGAAAATGTTGTTGTGACTGCATCAAAGTCGTATGGCTTTATTGTAAGAAAGAAAGATACTGTACTATGCTTATGTACGATCTAAGCATGAGTATGCGTCCCTGGAAGGTATTCTTACTATCAAATTTATATTGACCGCTTAGAGTCTATTCAGTTTTTAAAATATCCTTCATACAAAGAGGATGGGCTTTCCATCATGAGTTGATGGTGAGACATAACATCTGTAGTTTAGAGAAGAGATGCAAAAAAAATTCAGCTCAGTTCCTTTACAAGCTTATCCATAGCATTATAGACTTTAGCGTCATCTCAGAACAACTTAACTTCCTTGTTCCTAGATTAGCGTCATGAAATAGTGAGAGTTTTAAAGGCCTAGGACTGACATACTCAAGTTTTCTCGTATCTATGTAATGTGCCGTAATCATAATTCAGGTAATATTTTCTTTTTGTCTTTACTGGGGCACCGAAAAGGAAGAGATCAGTGAAACAGATCCTACGCCACTACCACTGCGGCATCTCTTAGAATAACGGTGGGATACGCGCGCACCGACTCAGCCACTTCAAAGACACGCTACGCCTGCAGAAGCACCTTCGTATTATGTACATACCTCTGCGTCCCTTCTTCCTAGCAAGCTTTCTCTCCCTGTGAGCTCTCCAGTAGCGCTGGATCCGTCTAGCAGATCTATTGATCAAGAACTGCCAAGCCATTTCATTAAAGATCCTTTCTTCCTCTTCGTACTTTTCTTTCATTAGAGTTGTGTACTCTTCTTCTTGCTCTGCGAGCAGGTCTTCCAAACCGTCCATTTCCTCTTTCTTGTCATCGTATCTTGAAACAGAAATGTGTAAATGCAGAAACCAAAAATAAAATTTATAAAGGCCGTGAAATAACTTCTGATTGCCATAACACCTAAAATAAAATACATACTCTTTTTGCAGTCTATCCAATTCAGCTTGCTTTTCTCCAATATCTTGATCGAATTTTACGACCCAGTTCTGAAGTTGAGTCTCCATTTTATAGCGTCTTGACCTAGCCTGTTTCTCTTCAATAAGATGATCCTCCAATAACGTTTCATACTGTTTCGTCAGTCGGCTTGCTTCTTCAGATAAGCATATTTGGTTTTCTTCACTTTCGTTCACTTTCTTCATCATTGCTTTTTCATTGTCTACCCTGGAAATAAACCACCTGCTTAGAAGATATAGATTACAAGAAGATTAAAGAAAATGAGCGACAATTTAGTTTTTTCACGTTATAGAATAAGGTCCCATGTCTGCCGCACGTACTTTATTGTCGAAACGTTGAGCATTGAGTAGCATTCATATGAATTTTGTACTCCTGCATATCTCCTAAGTCGGCTAAGCGGTCGATTTAGAGGTACCAGGTGCGAAAGGTTGGTAAAAATATGACCGACTTAAATTCTGATGGCTGATTTTTATTAGGAAAAAAAGATATTTTCATCGTGCTTATAGGCCGCTGTGGTGATTACAAATAAGGTACCTGTACCAAATAAGGCCAAGCTCCTTATAAGGCCATGCGTCGATTTTACAGACTCTAGTTACATCTAGAATTAAAGATTTCTACAGTTCTATACATTCATTGTGATGAGTTAGCGCCCATAAATGTAGCAGGTGTGCGAGAAAGAAAACTTGGTACTCGTACAATTTTGTCTAGAGAGCAGGAAGATGAACTATGCTCAAGGATAATCCGATTATCGGATACAGGAATGCCCCTTACACCAAAGATTTTGCGAAAATCCGTCTTTTCCTATGTTAATGACAAAAAAATTCGTCACACATTTAATGAAAATAGTGGAATGGCAGGTAGAAAATGGTTGAAGTTGTTTTTGGACAGACATGAAAATATTCGCCAAAGGAAAGCACAGGTTTTAAATCCAGCTAGGGCATAGAAAGTAAATAAGTACATTGTAAACGTCTACTTCAAAAAACTAGAAAGTTTGCTGATTAGACTAAACCTAATCAATCAGCCCCATCGTATCTACAATGTAGATGAGAAGGGGTGCAGACTCACCATCCACCGCCAACCAAATGTGTTGGCGAGGAAAGGTGAAAGACGTGTTCACTATGTAGCTAATGAGCACGCAAAAAATTCCACAATAGTTGCATGTGGAAATGCTATTAGACAGGCAATACCACCAATGGTCCTGTTCAAGGGAAAACGTAAAAAGGACGAATGGGGTGACAATATGCCAACCGGAACAGTAATTGAAATGACCCAAAAAGGAAGTATGACGGCAGCAGTGTTTGTTAAATGGCTAGACCATCTAGCAAACTATAAGCCACCAGGAGATATTCTTCCCATTTTTGATGGTGCCTCTTCTCATTTAGATGCAACTATTGTTGACGCCGCCGAAAATCATCACTTTATTGTGTCTTCCGAGTAACACGACACACGTGCTGCAACCGCTGGATAAATGTGTTTTCCGCAGTTTCGAATATCATTGGGAAAATGAAATACTTAAGCATTACAAGCGGTATCCTGGCAGGAAGTTGAATCGTGCAAGATTTGGAGAAATTTTGAGGAAAGTGTATCCAAGGGCCATGTCTTCTGAAAATCTTCAGTCAGGATTTCGCGCAACAGGAATATACCCACACGATCCAGCTGCGATCCCGGAGACTGCATTTACACCTAGTTTAATGTCAGAGAGGCCCGATTCAAATACGAAAGCTACAGATGTTCAGGAGGAGAATAAGGAAAACCATGATGTCAGCTTTACAGAATCTGATGACATACCCCTTGCACTACTGATGGCCAACGGAACTTCAATGTTACAGATAACAGCTATTTCTAATGAAAAAGAAATAAACTCGACTCAAAAGTTTGCAGTTCTTGAAACAACAAATCTTGTGACTGGTCAAATAGACAGTGATCAATTGGATCTAAGTTTCAGGGAAGTACTTCCCACACCCGAATGGAAGGCCAACGACACAAAAAGACAAAAAGCCATCAATTCTACTGCGCAAATCGTCGTAAGAGATTTGTTTAAAGACCCAAATCCAGGTCCATCCGGCTTAGATAAAACAATAAAAAAATCTAGTGAATCTGGAACCGTTAAAAGCAAAAGGTCCCGAAAGAATAAAGACGAAAACTGGTACTGTTTCATATGCGATAAGGATGAAGTACGTGACATGCGTCTGTGTGTAGTATGCTTAAGATATGTCCATGAGGAATATGTAGGCTTGTGTAGAGGTCATAAAGTATCATTTGTTTGTCATCATTGCGAAGGCAAAATCTAAGATTCTGTATGATTTTCTTTAAACAAGTTGACTTTTTTTATTTAAATCTGTCTAGATTTAAGTGTTTTTTTAATTTTGTTTAATTGGAAATATAGCTTCGTTTATTATACAGTCTTGATTTACATTTTGATTGTGGTTTTATTGAAAACCAGATGGTGGCCTTATTTGGATACATGGGTTCCTAATAAGGCCAACGGTAGTGTTTCGAAAAATATATTGTTTTTATATGAAAAGAAAAGGTCTCTGAGTTCTCCGACGTAGCTTGTGTAGTAAACATATCTACAATAATACCTTTAAAATTTCAAGGTCGTTTCGCAAATATTTACGCAGTTACAGCTATCCAAACGTTAATGTGGCCTTATTTGGTACAGGTACCTTAATCTATAATTGATGGATATTTAGTCCCTTATAACTGATGTACAGGGCTTTATATAGTCTTTGGCTATTTATGAATGACCTCACAAATTTTTAACTACCTGTTAAACCGAATTAACCACGATACGAAAAAAAAACAAATACAGCTCCGGACGAATTACGTAACTGTTCCCAAAAACATCACCCTGTGTGTTGGTATTTCTGGAAGTCGTTCATAGCCCTCAGAAGGTCCTCATCGCTAGAAAACCAGGTGTAAGGTCCGCTCTATCTGTTGGTATGTCACTCTCCGGTCTTCGTCAAGCATTTTCCTCACAGCAGCAATGTTTTCCTCTATTACTGACGTTCACGGCCTTCCCTTTCTGCGTTCTCCAGAGTGAATATAGTCGTACGATGAGGACAATCATTCTTTAATGCAAGCGTCATTTCTTCTGTGCACTGGTTTATGCTTAAACCACGCGTAAAGTTATACCGTAAAACAGCCCTTATCTTGTGACCACGATGCCATAGTCCGCACTTTACACTGTCAATACGAATGAACTAAATCAACAGACGTGCTGCTGACAGTTACTATGCACTCATGGACATGTCTCAACATGCAGCCTCCTGCGTCCGTTTGTTAAGTCATATTGCAAAACTTTTATAGTACCCTTGGTACTACTTTTCAAAAGCTTTTGATACCATTAATCACGAATTGTTGGTAGCTAAACTTCAGTACTATGGCTTTAATAAGGAAGCATGTTTGCTTTTAAAATCATATTTGACAGGAAGGTAAGCGGAGATCCTATCGGGAGTTTCTCAGGGATCAATATTGCGCTCATTGTTATTTTTAATTTATACATCCGATATCCTTACGTCTTTAAAGTTTTGTAAAGTTCAGGCCTTCGTGGATGACACCCAGGTTTATTGTTTTTTTGAAAATTGTATAAATGAGGACATTAACACCTTGAACAATCTCTCATTAGGTCACAACTTAAAACTTAATCCGGAAAAATCGCATGTAATGATTTTTGGTAACAAATCTAAGACTGAGCTTTTGAAAGCTAATCTCAATATATTGGCCAAGAATTCAAAATTGAATTTTGTTAAAAGTACAAAAAATCTCGGTATAGGTTTAGATTCTCAGCTTAGATTTAAAGATCACCCGAAAAATCTTATGCAAAAATCATTTTGTTCTCTAACAGTTTTGTATAATAACAGACACATGCTAAACAGATCACTAAAAAAAAAATTGTGTGAATCCCTAATTCTTTCCAATTTCAATTATTGCGATTTTGTCTATGGGTTTTGCTTAGATCAGGCAAGTAAAGGTCGTATTCAGAAGGTGCAAAATACGTGCCTAAGGTGTATCTATGGTCTAGGTAGGTTTGATCATACGAGTATATCTCATTTGTATAAAGAAATTAAATGGCTTAAAATGAATGAGCGTCGCACTCTCCATTTTTCTAGTTTTTTATTAAAAATTAACACTCCAGGTTCACCTGATTCTATAAAAGAACGCTTAATTTTCCGACATTCTGTTCTTGATATAAATGCAAGATATTTAAAAAAATTGTGCATTGTTTCAACGATCATTCTCATACAATGCTGTTAAACAATTTAATTCAATTCCCAACCAGTTCCTTAATCTTTCTCTTTCAAGTTTCAAAATACAATATAAGAAATATTTGCTAAATAGAAATCTGAACAAACTTTTTTAGAATAGAGATTGAAGTTTATAATCTAGGTATACATATAAGTAGAAAAAATATGTCAAGCAAATTTTATAGTAACCAGTAACCAAATTTTATTGTGACCAGAATTAATTAATATCTTTTTGAAATTTTAATATACTTTCAGTCCATTTAGTGTTAACACGTGATTATTATTATGATTATTCTGTATTGTTGTGTAAGACTTATTACTATTATTATTTTGTTTTGTCTTATTTTGGTTCAGTAGGGTAGCTTTAAGCTAGACTTTCGCCAATATTAGGCAAGATCATTTGTTTTATTCAATAAAGTCATTTATTATTATTATTATTATTATTATTATTATTATTATTATTTTTCAACTAAGCAGACGATATTGCAAGAACTGTAGATACGGATTTTATTCATTTTGATTTTAGTTATATAGGTTTCGTTCGTTCGACCGCAGACGGCCAACCATGAACAGCTGTTTCATGGTTTTTGGCAACTCCTCAGCATGGTCTAGGCTGGGACTCGGGTAGGACAACTCACGAAAGCTGAGCACCTATCTTCCATCGGAATCCGGAGTTAAAGGTCTGTAGAAAAAAGACAGCACAAAGTGCCATCTATTACCAGAATCAACCACTGAAAGAGCACATATAAACAAACACTACTCAACGTCACAAGTTTTGTGTTTCAAAAAATAATGTACGTTTGGCCCTGGAATCTTACACTATTACTTTCAAGTAAGCGTTATAACATGACGGAAGTAATTATTTTCTGATATTTGCTTTTTGTATGTCTAATATCCTAATCACTGAGGGCCGTATCGTTAGTCGTTCCTAGAATAATTGTAGGATGCCTTTATGGCCCCCTTGATTTTCATAGTTTTCTAGTGTTCCGTGTCAGCGCTTTATTTTGAGGTTATGTTACAAATATCTATTTGTATCAAATTGTTCATGATTTTGATTTACATCACCTGCTTTATCAGCCTGAAATTTCATACAAAAAAAGAAAACATAACTTCACAATGGGAGAGCGCTGACGCTGACACGGAACAATAGAAACCAAAAATTTCCCAGCCTTTCTGAAGGAGAGAAAATACCATGAAAATCAAGCAGGCCATAACGGCGTCTCACAATTCTAGGAACGACTAACGATACAGTGAAATACATTACATGAACTTCTTCATTTGCATCAGAAAGTCTTCCCTGATTGCCTCCATTTTCTTGTTGTACATTTCGAACACTTCAACTTTTTGGTTAACTTGTCCACCCAGATCTTTGCGCTGAGCCTCTATTCTCTCTTGTAGATCTGTTGAATATGTAATTGTCCTGGGTAGTAATGGTTAAAAATGCACACATCATTCGTATCCTAATATTCACAAAGAGTCGGTGGTCAAAAACTCAGCTGAACTCCCAACATGTGTTAATAATGGACATGTTTTGTACAGAATTAAATTCCAAGCTGATTTACGAGGGGGCGAGCTTGGACGGGAGACAGTGGAACATGTGATCCACAGTTGAGTACAAGTTTGAACTTGTTCGAGTCATTTAGTTGTTCGTAGCGAGTTTTTTCTACTGTGTTCTAAAAATGGGTGACATCAATCTCAACCAACGGTGTGCTATCATGTTTTGCTTCAGACTTGGGCACAGTGCAAAGGAAAGTCTTGCTAAAGAGTCTACGGAGCCAGTGTTTCGTCAAGAGTCGGTGTTTAAGGTATTTTCAGGAGGGAGAGAGTCGGTTGAAGATGAACCGCGAAGCGGAAGGACTTTATGTTTAAGAGCGGATGAAAATATCGACAGAATCCGGGATCTTGTGCGTTTAGATAGTCAGTTCACAGTCAGAATGGTTCTGGGAAAGTTAAATTAGACTCACACCACCGTTTATCAGATGAAGAACAACTGGGAGTTTCATCACGATAATACTCCTCGACACACAGCAATGCCAATAAACGAGTTTTTGGCCAGTAAAAATATTCCTGTGACTTGAGTCCTTGTGACTTTTTTCTCTTCACGAAGTTGAAAAATCACCTCAAGGCAACTCATTTTGTGGCAGTTAAAAAAATTCAAACGGCTGTAGCTATTCCAGTAAGTTATTTTAGGGGTGACAATATAAAATTGTAATTATACATCAAAGAAAAGATTCACAAACAATCAGTCTTATCGCTTAATTTACAGACCTCGTATAGGCGGGAGGCGGCAACTTAGATAGAAGAACATAGTACTGCATTACTTACAGGCAAAACTGCAGACGTAGACCTGATTGTTTAGCTACACTTGCAAAATCGGTGTTTATCTAAAACTGCCAAAAAATGTAAATGTCTTCTGGATTCCTATCCTTGAACGAGGGAGCAGAATAACTTAGAGAAAGTGAGCGACGTTCATATAACTTTTACCTAAATAATATACCTGCTTGTACCGGGTAATATGGATCGTTATTCTGGGGTGGTGCGAGTCGTTGTACTGGGGTATCCAATAAAACATTATTTTGATCATGCGTATTACATTTCACAAGATTCTCCTGACACACACTGGGAAATTCGACAATAATTATTGGCCTACCCGGTACAAGTTATCCCTTATAAGTTACCGATCAATCATCAAAACACTATATCTATATAGTATGTTGTATCAATCTCCTTCTCTTAGAGGGCTTTATATGAACATATAAAAAAGTATGGTACGTTTCAATTAAAAAAAGATGTCAAAATTTGTCAACTTTTATCAAACGGAATATTCTATAGCTTATTGCATATTCCAGTACACCCTCCCAAAAGCCAAATATTGATATAAGATAGTATATCGGTCTTATTACTTTTTGAGGTATGAGGGAATCATTGTAAAAAGCGCCATTTTACCATTTTATACAAATCAGTCGTAAGGAGCATCAATTTAAGGTATCTTACGACCCCCAACCTATTAAAAAAAAAACAAGATATGGCGCACTGCTGCCTACCTGAAATTTTCACCTGTTATTTTTACGTTAAAATATAGTACCCGTACATCAATTTCATTGCCCCGAATTTCAACTTGCTAACTGAAATTGTTAAAGAAATCATCAGAGGGACCATTTTGAAAAGAAATGTGTAGGAGTTAACTTGATATGTATTGAGGTACTGGATCATCTGGCTTCTGTTGATCTACCGATAAGTTCGCATTTATTTTATATTTGAACACAACACGACTTATAAGTTGAAATAACTCAGATTTACATTCTTCATTTGAGCTGAAATATCTTTTATATCTGACGGATTTTAAAAGATTAATCCTAAATAAATTCGTTGGGCCAAATTGCCAAAACCTACCCTCCATTGTTGCTAGAAGCATAAGGTTGGTCTTATATGTTCTCCTTAGCTCCTTGTCTCTGGCGTTTTCTTCATCTCCGGTGACATAAAGTTTCTTTTTCACTATATCTTTAAATTCATTCAATATGTTGGTAAAGTGGGCCAAGAACTTATCAATCTTGCTTGTTTTGGCTGCCCGCGCGGCTGCAACGATGCATTTGTTGTAGAAAAGGACGTCGATCATTTTTGCTACCGCTGGATCAGTTTTAGATTCCAAATCCAGCTGGTCCATCACGCACTTTTTTTGTCGTTGGGATTTGGTCTGATAAAAATAAGTAGAGGATCAAACATCAAGTGTGAACACCGAATTTTGTATTAGTCAAACACAGTGAAAGTTTTTGCCCATTATACCGCATTAAGACTTTGATACTATTATGATAGTAAGCGTTCCATTGTAACGTATGTCCTAAAAGTTTTGTCACAAAATATTTTTGTTGATGAAGAAATTTATTTAAACACTAACTAGTCATCATAAACTTTCTTCGAAGATCTCTCATGAGGTCCTGGACGGAATTCAGATAAATTTTTCTCAGTTTTTCATAAATTTGCCATCCTAATTGTTCTTCATTTTGGGCTTCCCAGCCTCCGTGATAAACCAGTAATGCCCAAAAACGATATCGTACTCTTAGAAGATCTATATTGACGAGCCAGTCTCCCTGCTCGCACTCCGCTATTGTTGGATAAATGGTTCTGAGTGAAATGTTTTCATTCTGGAATATTCGGCAGATTTTAGCTTTGGGTATCCACCCCACCAACTTGTAGATACTTTTTCTTATTTCTAATGTATACGACAGAAAGTGAAAACTTCAAAATAAATAAATGTCAACTGACAGTAAAGTAAGTACACAAAATTTTGTTTACAAGGGCAACTTGATATTATTTTGTTTTTAAAAATTAAAGCCAATGAGTTTTGTGCCAATACTATTAGGACATACGTTAGTGCAACAAGCTGTTCATGTGCAAAAAATAAAGGTGTCACTGCCACTTATGAGTAATTCGCCCTTCGCAGTACTACTGACCTCTACCTAGGGGAAGTCCTTTTGACATCGACATGCATAAAATTGTAATTACGCATTATAACTTGCAACACATTTTTCAGTAGTTGCTATTACGCGATGTCCAAATCGTCATTAATCCGGTGACTAAGCTGTAACTATGGGTTTTTAGAGAAATTATTTATGATTCAAGTGTCCTCAACCCATGGGAGAGTTGTCCATAGAAGAAGGGAGACTTAATCTCACCCCTTTACATAGAAACATAGAGGAGAACAGTTTTTAAATCTCGAAAATTTTTTAAAAATATTAACAGACGACAAACAAAACTTCTATTCTCATATTTTGTCTATTCTCCTGAAGTGTGCAATATGGGAATAGTCAAAGTAGAAAAGCTGTTCACGAAATAATCTCTGAATAAAAAGTAACAGTTTTTTTTTCAACACAAATAAGGAGGTAAAATATAATACATGTAACATTTCCATAATTTTAGTGATTTCTTGTCGCATTCATGCCACATGAAATTTTCATTATATTTATTGGTCCATCCGAGGCATATCTCGTGAGCATATCTCTTGCAGGAAGTATCAAGTTAAGTGTCCTTTCATATACAAAACAAAACCAAAGGTCATTTGAACCACGAGCTTCTTCCCACTTAATTTCTCTGAACATTTCTGAGTGAATTTGTGGCTTGATTTTTTCAATCCGATGCACGGTTTTCGCTTAAAAAAGTATAAACCGCTTCTCTACATGATCAAAACAATATCTTAAAATGAATCCAATTGCCCTCTTTATTATCGACATCCAATAATATTAAAAGTGCATGGGAAAAACTTCGATAATTCTCTTGCGATCATTTGATATCAACTTACGTTTGGTGTCATCAGTTCGTTGATGTTCATATATTCTTCAGCGCAAGCGAGATCGTACTTCGAGAGGTCGAAGCTGGCACCGAAGGAGTTCATTGTCTGCAGAATAAAGTACTGGTCTTTTTTGTTAGAATACTTCTTTAGAAGCTCCGCATCGTTGTACAGAAACATCGGTAGATGTGCCTATTTTATGAAAAAAGCTTCAAAGTAGGTAGCTTTACGAATAAAACTGAATATTTCTTGTTGTGCTTATTAGAAAAATAGTTCTAGTTTGTGAGAGTTTTCAAACTAACGGCATTTAGTATTTTGGTGCATATTAAGTCAGTTTCAGTACATCAAACAATAGCTACGAAGAGAAGATTGTTATACGGTACAAACGGATTTTGAGAAATTTTTGGCGAATATCTCTACTAATATTATTATTTCGAAAGTATGTATCTATGTTTAAATGTTCCGCTGTCACGCCAAAACGGCTGAACCAATTTCGATAAATTTTGGAGAACATATAGACTAGACTTTGAAGATGAATATTTTATTACGAAAATGAAACTTCAGGGGCTGAAATAGGGTGTATCAGTGAACATCATTATTTAAGTTAGGAAAACACTAGGCTCTGAAGTGAGGTTTAACCTGAAGAGCCTTGTATAATTCAAATTAGGGTAGCTGCAACCAGGGGAGGCGGAAGAGATGGCTAATTACTGCTGGAATCTTCATCAGACATCTGATTCAAGAAAATCTCATAAAAGATATTTTTCCCAAACCACAATGGCTATTTAAAGTTAAGTGTAAAAAAGCTAGAGCTGTAACGAAGGAACCTGTGCTATGTTGGTAACCTGTACACTTAATTTGGCTGATAAAAACATTGAACTATTTTTCAGTGTTGACCAGTGTGACAAGTGGACCCGTTTTTGCAAATTACACATCCGAGGCATATCAATCTTTCTACTTTTTTGAATTCATAGTAATATTTCCTTGTCAACTATTTCCATATACGCATGTGTTTTATTTTTATTTATACAGGGTCAATCCTCCTTAAAACTGTTTTAATCGTGGTGTTATTTTTTATATAATATAAAATAGCGAATTACCATCACTTGCAGTTTTGCAAGAGTCCTGTTCAGTACATACATAACTCGGTCTGCATGTAACTTGAGATCAAGCTCCATTGGTGTCAATTTTCTGTCTTTATATTTATCTACAATTTCTACAGATTCTTCGTCCATTTCTATTTCGGCCAGTAAGGAATACATAAGCTTCTTTGGCCGTTTCACGACCATATCGTCCGCCATTTTTGCAGCTTTCTACCGAATATCTGTCTGATAAAACTCACAGCAATACCCAATACGTCAAAGCTTTGTTGCATGGCAACTGACCACTAACCATGTGACATATTATACAAATACCTATTGGTTCCGCTATTGTTTTGAATCTGTCTGATTTGACTTTCTCAAGGGACAATATCGTATTGACAAAACTTACCCACTCATCCCCCTCCCCCAAGGGAGTTACGTTGCCTAGAAGCTAAACACCGCTTGTTTGTTGTGTAGACTAACAGAATTGCAAGAGTGTGTGTGCGATAAGATTTGAGAGCGGGATTGTTGTATCGCATTATCAACAAAAATGGCTGGAAAGAAAAAAAAGAATCTTGCAAACAAGCTTGCTAAAATGTCGGACGAAGATCGAGCAAGATATCTTCAGCACAGAGCTGAGATTGAAGAAGAAGCAAGACGGAGAAAAGAGCAGCTGATTGCCACCTTTATGAAGGTATTTCCGTACAAGATTTTGGAATATATTTTTGCGTGTATAGATAAGAACAAAAATATGTATGCCACGTTCTCTTTGTATTAGGCACAAGGCGAAGCGGGTGTGCTATCCAAAACCGTTTTTGAGTTTTGGGTAGTTCATAATCGGCTTTACACTGAACTCACCACCCTACGCGGTTGCCAAAATATAAAAATGCAACGTAACCCTTTTTGTGCCCGACTGTACATTTTATTGTTTATAGTTTATATCAGACTTGATCGACTGAGCTGTATTTACGCAAAAGGCAGTAAGGTTCATCTACTGCTTTTTTTGAAGTTAGACGGCAATGCATTTCTTTTATGATTACAATTACAAAATATATTGTTGATCACGTTAGTTAACAAAAATACTTATTTTTTTCACTTTGTCAAATATTTCATATTCATTACAATTTCTAAGTATGAAGGCAGTAAACCAATATATCAAAAAAAATAAGCAGCACTATACTGCCTTCATTCTCTGTATAATACAAGTATGTACTGTCTTTTTACTTGTTTAGTTTTTTATGCAATAATTCTCATTTGCAAATAGTATTTACGTATATAAATAATTACTTTTGCTCTCAAAAAATAATTATGGTAAATATTCTTTGTTTAACTTAACATATAAGCGAACAGGTTATTTTTAATTTATTTATATAGGTATAATTATTTTCGCTGAATGTAATTATATAATTATTAAATTGAATTATTTATGTGAACTTCAATATGAATAAATTATACTAAAATAAAATAAAAATCTGCATTGCTGCGTTTTTCCTTTGAACGAATAATATAGGTAATATATATAGGTTAAGAAAATTACGAAAAAGGCAGTAAATTTGTTTTTGCAGCGGTGGCCGCAGTAGTAGACTCTTCGGTCTCCTGATCAGTCGCCGTGCGCTGTGCGGGTTCGAATCCCGTCCCAGGAGAAATTTTTCTCTTGGCTATGGATGCTGTGATTGTCTGTAGGTGGTAGACGGTCTCTGACTGTCGAACGCGGAGGTACCACCCGGCGGGTCTCGTAGGCGGGGCCAGAATGTGTGTATGTTGCATGCACACGTGTTCCCTCGCCAGAGTCCCCTTTCCCCTATATCCCTATAGCCCCACCGTAACCCATGGGTGTTTAGGCCTTAGGCCTTCTTGGTGGTTGGAGTATAAAATCAGTAAATGTTACGGCTTTTTGATTTACGACAAATAAAAACGGAATGTCATTTATTTCAGGCCTCGACAACAATTATGATCCGAAATGACATTCAAATGTCTCTCGATGAAGTCATGTAACTTTGCAATATTCTCTCACTTTTGTTGTGTCGTATTGAGTTCGGAAAAATCATGAATTTTGAACTCGATTACCTCAGACTTAGATTTTTACACTTTACTAACTTTTACCTAAACACGGCAGCGTAGCACAGAAGAAAATAAAAAAGAGCCTCATCACTTGATTTATTATTAGTTGGTTTTTGAAAAAGTGTATTTTCCAAAGTCGTACTTTTATCGCTACTGTTTTCTGAATATATTCCAATCACATAAATGTTTGCAATTTTCAGAAAAAAATTAAACGGGAAGAAGCGTTTGGCAGGTTGAACATAGCAAAAATTAATCAAAGCTGGCACCAAATACTGAGAAAAGCAAAATGCAAAGAAATGAAGGAAGATGTTGAGGTGAGTGCTTTCCATATACCCCGAAAATTGGTTTACGTCAGTGTCCAATTTTTAGCATATGAGGAGGTGGATAGAAAGAGTGATAACTTACAAGAACAAAACCATTGCGAAATTGATGGAAGAGCTGGAACAAGCTGAAGAGCAGTACTTGAATAACTTCCAGGCGCATTCCATACATATTGATGAAACTATAGGTATAACCATATATGATGCCCAAAAGGGATCTGAAATGTCCTAGCACCACTTATTAGACAGTGACGGCACAAAACAGAATTTGGGAATTTACTTTAGAAGGGTGTTGATTAAACTAACCACAGCCAATTAAGATCGTCATTAGAGAGGCCAAAAAATACCTAACGCTATCTATAGACGGTAGCAGAATCAAAGGCTAACTTTTTTCAAATAAACCATTCAAGTATTACATAAACACCAAAGGGGGCGGGGGAGTCTTCATTCTGCTTAGTTTTGATGACATGGAGGGTTGGAGGAGGGTCTAGTCTAGATGGTGATTAGGTTAGCAATATTTTTTTTATTATCGGATTTTGTACAAAATTAGGTCAAATTTGATTATTACAATGGCGACCCTGCTTGCCTATGCTCAAAAGCAAAACGCATTTCCAGGGACTGCTCAAACATGGATATGCTTCCGAGTAGAGGGTAGAATAGCTGCTCTTACTCTGGAACTCACTGGTTTTATACTCCCTCATGGCCATTTTGGGTCTTGTTTTGATGAACAATTAGAAAGATCCAGATTCGAGTTTGCCAGACATATATTAGCAGAGGTATGGAGTTCAATGGAAATTGATGGTTATCATGTTACTGCAAAGTACGTTGGATCGAGCGAGTCAGAACTTTCCATATTTTCGAGACATTGAATGGTATTCAGAACATGTGCATAAAAGCCATTACTTGCTTCAAATTGTAATGTGTACTAAAATGTTAACGTAAGTATGGGAGAGGGAGGGTGGTGGTAAGGGTAACATATTTGCTTACTTTTGTTGACAAGGGGATTAATAATTGTGAAAATTGCTAACCTATTACTTGAACGGCCCCAAATTATATTCATTGTTGTGTTCTGCTACTGCCAGATAGATGGCGCAAGTAAAACTGGTCCACATTATACACAACTTGACCAAGCGCTATTTGATAAATTTTCAGGTTTTGCTGCCATCTGACGCGCAGTAGTTCAATTTACTTAAAAAAATGCAGGCAACGTTAAGAACTTGCCTTCACGAGCAACAATATTTCAAATTGTGCTAGACTTAATATTTATTTAGTAAACAACAGCTTTTGACAGAAAGAAAAAATGGGCTCCAGCGGGACTCGAATCTGCACCCCTCCACTCCGAGGAGCTGACCTAACCAATTAGGCTACAGCACCAGCTGTCATTCAACTTTTTAGATCGACTGTTCCATGCAAATTCAATCCTACCCACGCCTCTGTTCCTTTGTTCTTCAAAGCTTCAGTAACCTGTATATGATTTTATATATATATATATATATCCTTGAATTTCTTTTGGTAGAAGGACTTCTCCTAACATTTAAGGCAATTAACTATGAATACTATATATATATATACAGGGTGACTTTGAAGTTGAGTCATTAATTTTCAGATAATGATTGTAGAAGGAAGATAAACCAAAATATGTGTGTAAAAATAAAAAAAAATTAAAAAAATTTTTTTACCTTGTTTTATAAAGTATCCTCCCGACAAGTATTTCAGTGCGGACCTGTATTTGATCGTGAGGTCCCCTGTGAGGTCTTAAGTCACCTGATTCACGAGCCCGTTGTACTACATTAACAAAGGCACGAGGGGTTGGTTGCACTCGATTGGGAAACCGATCCGCATAAACATGTGCCATTTTTTATTTCGTTTGAGCCACGCAACAGACACTATTCACACGCGACACTGACACTGACTGTATGTATAACTGAACTGAATAAAATAATAAACTGTACACAAACATCGTTCCAAATTCTTTCGCTTTTTTGTTTCCGATGCGATGAACCGGTAAGGCGGATTATATCCGTTATTGCCAAACACGAGCACATGATATTGAGACAGGGCGGTACTCAAACTTCCAAAGGGCTATAACTTTGTTACTTTAATTTTACCAGAAAAATGGTAAAGGAAAAAAACATTTCTTTTGATCAGATCTATTCACTGTTAAAATAAATGACTCAACTTCGAAGTCACCCTGTATATACAGTAGCATAGATTTTGCTTTTTAAATGACGCCACATAAAGAAACCCAAAGGTGATAAATCTGGCGATCTTGGGGGCCATTCAATGGCACCTCTTCTACCAATCCATCGATCTGGAAACGTCTGGTCTAAATATTGTCGAACACGTAATGCGTAATGTGGTGGGGCACCATCCTCTTGGAACATCAACCTATTCGCAATGTACCGCCGATCATTCTGATTTTCAATTATGGCTGTTAATGCAGAATCTATGGCGTCTTCCAGTAATTTCAAATACATTTCACCGGTCAAGAAGAAGGTAAGAAGAAAGAACCAACTAAATAATCGCCAAAAATACCAGCCCGCACATTTAATTTTTGTAGCTGCTGTCTATGAACCACTTGATAAATTCTGTAATTAGAATCGGACCAATATCGGCAGTTATGACGATTTACTACGCCATTTAAGAAAAAGGAACATTCGTCGGAAAAGCAAGTGTTGAATAGAAAATGTTCATCGTTTATAATTCGTTCACTCATATCTTCACAAAATTGTAATCGCCGATCAAAATCGTCTTCATTAAGTTCTTGTACCAGGTGAATTTTATACGGATGAAAACTATGGGCCTTTAGAATCCGTTGGACAGTACGTCGACTAATACCACAACACAGTCTCCAATTTGCGGGTACTTAACGTAGGATCTACATAAACTTGCCCTAAAACCCCCACTTCTATTTCTTCGTTCCTTATGGGATTTTCAATGTTGCGTTTTTTATTGGCGACTGACCCAGTTTCCCGAAATTTTGCTGCTACAAGTTCTAGAACATGTTTTCAATGCACGTTACTGTTCTCAATTTCAACTCTTTCTGCTGTGAAATATACCATGGTTAATTTATTTAAAAAAGCGTTACAAGTTATTTTAGCAACAAAGTTTAGTCAAATCAATCGCAAACTATGTACTAAATTCCTATTTAAAATAAGTACGAGATATTTTCTTATCTTTCTTCAAGAAATAACGTTTTTGCCCCAAAAAAACGCTCCAATAGCTATTTTCAACAACAAAATGATAAACAAACCATGGGCGTAGTGAAGAAAGGCATTTGCTTATTAAGTAAATTCTTTTAGTCAATTTTTTTCTGAAAGTTATACAAACTAATCTGATGTACCTATTAAAGTCTACTTTAAGCTTTAAATCAATAAATCTTCAAAAATACTGAACTGAAGCTCAAGTATTTTACATCATTATAAAGGGAATTGACAGACCTTTAAGGTATCACTCGACCCCCCTTTCCATTTAAGATTTTAGGGTTGGTGTCACCCCCACCCAGGGGGCTGCACGTGTTATCGTGATTTTTTGCCAAACTTGTGTCCCCCCTGGTACCGTGCTAGGTGCGCACGAGACGGCGTGGTGTAACTAGAAAGCAATAGGAGGTACCTTACCAATACGTTTTACTCCACTTGAACTTTGCCAGACGTGGCATCAATCAGCTTAAAAGAACAAAGGATCAGTGTAGTGGGTAGGATTCAATTTGCCTCTAACAGTCGATCCTGAAAGTTGGTTCAGAGCTGGTCTGTAAACTAATTGGTCAAGTTGGCTCCGCGGAATGGAGGAGATGGGGGTTCGAATACCACCGGCGCCTATTTTATTTTGTATGGGGTTGTCCAAAACGGACGCAGGAAAGTAAACGCATATTAAAACAAGAAACATTGATATTCAAATCAAGTTGGGTACTTTATTTTGAAGGTTCATTTATACCATTTATGTATGAAAAATAATATCGCTCAAATGTTCACCACGACTGGATTTACAGACGTCCACGCGATGGTCGAGATTTTCAATGACATTTTGCAACATGGTCGGTTCTATGGCATTTATCTCGGCAATGATGTTGTTTTTGAGTTCTTGGAGGGTGGCTGGTTTGTTGACGTAGACTTTGCTTTTCTAATATCCCCATAAAAAGAATTCCAAGGGAGTCAAATCGCACGATCTTGGTGGCCATGGATATTGACGTTGGTTGTGTGGCATGTTGCACCGTCTTGTTGGAAATAAATATCGTCCATATCCATTCCTTCAAGTTGCGGCAAAAAATAGTCCTCTATCATCACGTGATATCGCTCAGAATTGACGGTAATGGCGTCCCCGTCCGCATTTTCGAAAGAGTAAGGTCCGATGATGCCTTTTGACCACAATGCACACCACACAGTCACTTTTTGAGGATGCATCGGCTGCTCTTGATACTCACGGGGATTTTCGTTCGCCCAGATGCGGCAGTTTAGCTTGTTTACCGTCCCATTCAAAGTGAAATGCGCTTCGTCGCTGAACATGATTTTTGATGAAAAATTGGCATCAATTTGGCGGTGTTCAAGGAGCCAATCTGAGAACGTTTGGCGCGAAAAATGGTCGACCCGACGCAGCTCTTGCGTCAATTGGACCTTGTAGGCGTGTACATTCAAATCCTTGTGGAAAATGCGGAGCAAACTGGTTCTCGAAATACCCAATTCTTGGGATCGACGCGTTGTTGATTGTTTCGGATCGTCTCTCACACTCTCCTTCACAACAGCGATATTTTCCGGTGTGCGAATGCTCCTTGGCCACAGAACCTGTTGCCTCGAATTTACGCACCAGACGACCGATGGTTGTTTCGTTTGGGCGGTTGTTGCGTCCGAAATGTTCACGAAGCGCGCGAAACGTGTTTTTTATTTTTGCACCATTTTTGTAGTGCTCTTGAATAACTTAAATGCGGTCTTCAATCGAATACGACTCCATAGCGATCAATGGTAAACATTCAACTAACAAAATGACATGTCGGTGACAGAAAACAAAGATGGCGTCTATGTCAAATTGACGTTTACTTTTCTGCGTCCCTATTGGACAACCCATTATTTAAAAGAAACAATTCAGAACACCCTGTAGAATGCTTTAATATTACTACTTTCTATATTTCTATATTTTTGAGATAACATTCGGCTTTAAGATTTATCCCATTTACCGCGACAGAATTGAATTTTTAATTTTAGGAACAAGCTGCAGTCTGTAGTGCCCAGCTAAAATATAATACTCATTCGTCAATTTTATCATCTCGAATTTCACCTTGCTAACTTGACCCATTCAAAGCTGAGGGGGACCTTTCCGAAAAGCACTATTTGATGACCAGTGAAAGATTGGCTCAAAATTTTAGAAATTGAGGTGTTTTAAGGCAGTATTTCTGTTAAAACTGATTCAGAAGCTGACTCTAAAGTGATCTATCATATATATATATATATATATATAAACTGTGACCCATCAAACACTCCGATTCAAGGATTTCTTAGTAACCCACTCGAAAGTTTGTGGCCCAATGGAAAACCTATATCAGAAAAGAGGCTAGAAGATTCAAAATCATTACTAAGCCTTATGCACAAGAATGCCAAGAAGTTCTGTAGAGGTCTAGTTGCCGATGCAAGCATTGAGAAAGACATAGATAATAGTCAAACAGATTATAAGTTTGAGCATGGATAATACAAACTTTTAAATTCAGGTTCCTTGGTCAGTTCCCAGATGTGTCTCTATCTTTTGCTTCATTTAATTTTTATATCAGTACACTATTGAGTTTGAGAATACAATATTTGACGTTCGTTTGGTGTGGGAAACGTTTCAACCTCAGTATATCTTTTATTTTTTAATGATGCTAATTACTAAAATATGTGAAAAATAATATATCTGTAATGTATTCGTAATTTTGCATAACGTGACAATGTAACATTTATGTATTGCTGTCATTGAACAAAAGGAAAAATAAGCAATAACACCTAGTCTCATTTTATTTCCTTAGGTTTCAAGTATCAGGTCTTTTAAAAAAAGATCACATACAAACATGAATTTGTTATATCAGTTTCTCGTAGAACTAAGATAAGTTAACACAATCGTCTCATCGATTTTTAACAAATTGGTAATAAAATTTTTTTATTCTCCTGAAAAAAAGCTTTTTAATGATTGGTCATCCATAACGCGGTTCAACTTATCTCTTATATATCGAGACTGATCCTGATTGTCTAGATAATGATTTAAACTTTTTGATCCAGAACATCAACATCAGTATATAGAAAAAATAAAATCTGAATATGAATGTGATTTGAATGATCTTGTTAATGTTATGGAGAAAGGAAAACAAGAGATGTTAAAAACTGCGAGCGAAGAAAAAAATCATATGCAGATGATATTGTATGGACAAGATCAAATAACATCTACGGTAGATAGAAAGGAATATGAAGACTACATGCAGAAGTGTTATGAAGCTGAATATGAGGTTAGTTTATAATAAGTTTCAGTACTAGATAACCATAGATAGCAACAGCGACCCATAACGTTCACACGTTGAGACATGTCCTTAAGGGAAGGCTGTCTAGATAACTATCAACCATGTCAAATGCACCGAGAATTATTCGAATAGGTAATTTGAGGATAGACAAATTTTGAATCTAAAACCTGCATTTCTTTTTTGTTACTGAACCAAATCGTATAATATTTCGGGGGTCCTAAAAGTTAATTAGTTAGGAGATGACACAGGTTTTCAGAATCACTTCTGTCTCATAAAGCTGAAAGCACCCACCAAAAGTGTGATTTATAGCTTTATGGATACAGATATAGTTCTTTTCACGGTTCTTGGTGGTTCAAAGTAAACCTATAGGAATTTCTTGGTTATGTGTCTCCGTCTCGAAAACTTTGTCGTTACGTATGAGTGCCCTGCAATCATATTTGTTAAGGTGACAACTTACTTGACATCGGCGTTCAATTTGAATTGCCCTGTTATCAATATTCAATACAAAATTGTACGGAAATACGATCAATGGACAGGGCCGACAGCTCGTGCTAAATTTATTAGAGTATTTCCAGGAAGAGAATGAAAACAGTGGCCCACTGTTACCCACTTCATGCGTACAGGAGAGAGTAGCAGATGCGCTGAAGATTAGTCTGCGCCCATGGTACGGAAACTCAACCTGTTTACTTATTTCATATGGCGTTTATGATGTAACCGCCAGGAACAGTAACTACAACTTTAGGAGGATGTTACTTTAAAGTAAATTTGTTCAAAAATTATTTTTATGCATTTTTTGCTACTCGTCTAATCACTTCTCATTATCGAATATTTTAGTAATATTAAATTTATAAGAATTTAGTTTTTTTCATTCAAGATATCGGTAAGGTAATTTTATAGTGATTGAATAAAAATACTACATTGATGATAAATCCATTCAACTTAGGACCAATGACTTAGGACTAAAATTTCGAAATTTGATGAGAAACACCCGAAAACAACATACATTCTGCAAATATTTATGATTTGTCTCTGTTACACTATCCTGTCATTATCAGAGCAAAATTATTTCTAAGCTGCTCGGGATTGTCAATAACACAAATGAACCACTAACAATCAATATATCACTTTATTTTTCACAATACACACAATGAAAAGGATTTAGTGTGAAGCCATAATGTCCTAGGGTCTATGTAACTATGTTTTAAGATAACATAAATAATAATCTACAAAATTCCAAATTCAATTCTAGAAACTAGAATGGCAAACCGCCAGCTGGCCAATCTTCGCAGTTTGCTCTTCCTTTCTCAGCCAAGCAAGTCATCAATTTTGTTGAAGCTGCACAGGAATCCAGGTTTTTCTCTTAAAAAAAGTTAAAGTGTTAAATGCTGATTCCTTTTCTGATATCATTTGGACTAAGAAAGTATTAGTAGGGTTATTAACAAGAAATATCAGGACAGCTCCATAGATTATTGTTTTTTGAAAATATATATTCTTATACCTTTGTTCATTTCCTTGAAGCACTCGTCAGCTGTTTCTTGTAAAAAGTCCCTCAATTCACGATTACTGGTTGTCTTCAAAATACTCTCAACAAACTTTGCTCTATCTGGTACTCCATTTTCGTCAGACTAAAATATCTAGCTATAATATCCTGGGTTAGAAGCCAAATGGCAATGAGTGTGTATATATTTATACAGAGAGGAGGAAGGTAGTCTTGACTGACTAATTAAGATGGTTGAAATGGAATAATTCTTGAGGTTGCAGCCATAACACAATCGAATAGCAGAGAGCTAGAAAAACGTTTATTCTTTATTTATCTCAAAAAATTTCGAAAATATCTATTTCCTTCTCCAGGACGTACCACCTGAATATTGCATGAACCACAAAGTTCATTACAATATCGATAAAAAAGCTACGTTGAAATTCTGTTTCAGGACAAGCGATCTCAAGAAGGGGAGAAACATTAATAAAACGTAAAAACAACAAATTCACAGGTCACTATATCGAAAACAAATCATTCTTAAACTGCATTAATGAAGATTTGAAACTTATTTACGTTATTGCATACTAATGAATAGAATAAATATTAGGAATCAATCGAGATGGAGGATCAAGCCTGCAGGAACGTCAGTTTATTACAAGTTTTTGATTTTAGGGAGGGATGGAAGGATCTTACTCCCAGACTCTTGAACGTCTTTGCTAAATTAAACGACAACATTGCAATGAGAAATGTTTGACAAACTCTGTGTTTCTATCAAAATTCAAGTCACCAGTGCAACCTCACGAGCTTTCCCATTTTGTATATTTATACATCTACATGAAAACCTCAAACGGTTAGGTGCTTATTATCAACTACAAGTACACTATCACTATACGAATACAACTTACAGGAAGAAATAAAACATGTATGTTCTTATAAATTAGTTTTTATATTTTGAATAATTGTGTCATCCGATAATCCTAGAGAAAGAACGGGTGATTGCATCTTTTCTCTTTGTACGTGTTTTCACCTGATCAAACTTACCACTCCCACGCTTTCCAGAATGCATTGTACGATACACGTCTCAGAAGATTCAGTAGACGAAGGAACATCGGTAGATGATTCCGTACTGGTCATCATTTTGTCATCATTCTTCCCACTAGCTTTATCAACTTTTAATGCTGCGCTTGTTTCCGGTTTGACAGCAGCTGGCTGAGCTCGTCGACTTCTACCCCCCTTCATTTTTGGAGAGACTGCAAACACCACAATCACATCAATAAAAAGTTCCTATCGACCCAATGAATTTATACCAAGTAGAAGGCAGTCAAGGATTTGTTTGTCTCCTCATTCTCATAGTCTGTGGTGAGGATCAAAGTGCATTTGACAAGTCAATTTTTTTACAGTTCTGTTATTAAATTCGTATATTTAGTGTGATTTTTTAAAAGTGCTAGTGTTTGCAGATAATTGTGGTGTTTCAAAACATGGTACCTTTTCACAAAGAGCAGCACACGCCTAATGAAGGTAGATGTTTCCACTGGTAAGTATTGTTATTATGTTGATACAACGCTGTCACTTTGGTAGGCATTGGTAGATAAATGAGTGAAAAGGTGTGCACTGAAACTACGCAATTGGGCGGCAAAAAATACTAAACATCTGGGCTTGGCTTCTTCTAATCTATTCTCTAAGAGAGAAATATAGACAACCTTAAATAAGCCTTAATTAACCATCTGACAACTGCATACAACGTTGTTTGGTGCTTATTAGCAATCATCAGCACTGTATAGGTCTAGTCATTGGAGACAAACAAGTGGAATTGGTCTTTTGAAAAACTCATTATGCTGTGCGTAAAGAGGTAACAAACTGACAAACACCTTTTATAGCTTTTACGGATATCTAGTGAGCTGCTTATCTTACCAGTTGTAGTTAGCATTGCAGATGAGTCTTCTTCTGATGGTAATTTGGATCCATTCCATAGATTATCTATGGTCTCGTTGTTTTTTACACATTTTGCCATAGCTTTAACAAGTTCACCATTAGTTGTTTTGGCTAAACCACATTTTAGTGCCTGTAAAATAATGTAGGGAACTTAGTCACATACCTAGGATTGCGATGAATTTCTGTCGAAATAATCACGACATTGAGTAGAATACAATTATGCAATAATTCTGCTAAGAAATTATACATTTGGGATTTTTTAAGAATGGTGACACTGTACTGTTCTAAGCACCTATTAGACATATTTCACGCATCATAGATTTCTTTATACATAAAACTTGGAATGACAGAGACATGTTCTCGATGCGCGTCTCCTTCTGCTCCCGGCGGAGTGCCGGTCTTGGTAAGTGTTCTGGTATTATTGCCGCGCTGGCACGTCTAACCGGATTAGGTATCGGGGAGAGGCGACGTTGCCAGATGGACTATCCGTAGGACAGGAGATGAATGTCTATGGACCAATTGTAAGGACTTATTTCAATGGCGTGATCCGTTTAATTTCTCTGTTATACATGTTCGTCAATAACTTTTTTCTCAGAGGCTCCAACTTGGGCTTAACTGAATCCTCTGAAACTGATGACGGCGTTGCGTGGGAAGTGCAGAGTCAACCTACTTGATATTATTTTTTTTAAATGTATTTGTTTAATCAAAGATCTTCCGTGATTGTGTGTGATATCACAAAAATCAGGAGAATATCTGCATTAGAAAACTGACTATGGAGTTCCATTCATAAAGAAATATCAAACTAGCCCGGGACCTTCCATTTATGATTTCCTATAACACCGAAATTTGGTTGTTTGTTGAAGTTCTTGCTCTTTCTATTTTATTCATGATATATCTGTCAAGCATGAGCCTACCTGTACGTAGCAGAGTGAGCAGCAGAGCAAAGTCACAACGGTAATGACAACCTTCATTCTTCCAAATCTGGGCCACTAGTCACAATGTCACGAAGCACACAACTGGAGCACCATTATTAAAAAAAATCTATTTATACCCCTTTCGTTTCACGTTATTGACACAAATCAACGAAACAAAAGGATACACGGTGAATTATAACAGACAAATGGAAAAAATTACCTAGATAGACAACAATACAGATGACTACATGACTAATTTGCCGATCAATTTGGCGTGATCTTGATTTTTATTTTTTATTTCCTGTCAGGCGTAATTCAGGAAATTCGCGGATGTATCGTGAATGTTCTGGGAATTTTCACTAAAGGCAACAGTAACAGTAGCTTTTGCGTTATTATTATTATTATCTATTTTAAATAGAGGAGGATTTTGCAGAACTTTGCCTAGTTCCCAGAAATCTGAAAGTATCGCAAAATCTAGATATACGCGTCCGAAAAATTATCCGAGATGAAATGAGATACCGTAGCGTCATTTATGACAATTCTATCTACTTATCTTTCTCCTCTCCGGTTTAGTGATATGTTCATATATAGTGTATTCCTAATTATTGCGGAGAAAAGGAACACCTGTAACAAAATCTGATAGATGACGCTACGGTATCTCATTTCATCTCGGATAATTTTTCGGACAAGTGAATATAGTATCAGGTTGGCTATCTTCAGGTAGAATACGTTAATCAATGCCTAGAGAGAAACACCAGATTTCACAAAGCTGGAAAACAGGAAAAGTTTTCTGGGCTGAAAGCTTAATAGATCTCTTTGAAAACGAGGGAGTTATGATGCCAAATCCCGACAGCTGTTGGCATTTGCATGCATCCATTTTCCGCAAAATAATAGGTATGTTCCTAGATTTCAGTGACGGCATTAGGCGTCGGCGGCCTCGCAAGAAAGTTATAAAAATGTCGTATTTTTTGGTCAGTGGGCAATCCTAGGTACAAAAGAAATGGAATCCAGAGCTGCCAACTTGAAGGAAAAAGTACACTACGTACGATACGGAGGGAATACACGATTCTTCAAGTGTTTCTGCTTAGGTTTGCAACATTGTAGAGATAAACATCGATTTATCGATAATTAATTTTTTTTATTTTGTAGAGCTTAAAGAGTTAATAGATACGAAGCTTCCGGTCAGCAGCTATTAAAGTCAATTTAATTATCCTTGTTATCCTTAACGATCACTTTTTTCAGAAGAGAAGAGTTTTTGTGAGTACTGTCTACAGTCAGCATTCAGTTTTCTATTTAGCGGACTGTCCCTCATTTGACTCAACATTTGCATACAGAATAAAAGAGGTGCTCTTAGATCAAACCCATCTATATTGAATTGAGGGTCGTGAATATGATATTTTTTTTATATCGAAGCAGCCGCACAGGCAGAAGCCTAAATGCCGGAACACCGCGGCTGCTATGATGATCCCAAAAAAATTTTGTTAATACAATTTTTGAACTGCCTGAGGTTAATAGAACTGGGAAAAGCTTCCTCTTGTAGATTGTTCCACAATCTCGACACCCTCGGGACAAAGGAGCGGTCGTATCGGCCAGTTCTGGATGTTCGACACGGTTAGGATGGGACGCCAAAGTCAGACGGGTCTGTCTGGCAGGTCTGTCTGGCAGGCACATCGCGCGAGACCTCTGAGGAGCAAAGCCCGTTGGTGTAACGGTAGAAAAGAGCTAGATCGCCGACAGCCCGCCGGTGCGAAAGAGTTTCGAGACTGTCTGTTAGAGAAGAGTCATTGATCAGTCGGGCCGCCCTCCTCTGGACAGCATCGAGCATGGATAATGTAGTCGGGACGGCAGCACCCCAAACGTGTGAGCAATACTCGAGGCTAGGCCTTCTCTGGGCTTTGTATAGAGTGAGTACTTCTTAGCCCTAAAAAAATAGCCTAGCTTTTTCCCAGCGGCTGCAGCTATTGACCAGCCAAACTGAATGGCTCTTTGGCAGAACTCGGCCATCCATCGATACCGGGTGAGCGCAGGGACGCTTTTTGTTCGTTAAAGTACAGTACTGTGTTTTGGAAGCATTGAACTGTACAAGATTGTTGCGTCCCCAAGCAGTGATAACCTCCAGGTCTCTTGTTAGAGAGGAAGTCATCGCTAGTCTTCTTTTTCCCAACTCAGCGGCAGAGATCGGCTTGTCACTCAGAATTCCTGCATGTAGAGTGCTGTCATCAGCGAAGCTGTGGATTGGGTTGATCGTGCAGGAAAGGAGGTCGTTGATATGTAAGAGAAACAGTGTCGGAACCAAGACCGATCCCTGGGGAACACCTGCGTTGACGTTGTGGGATGAAGAGGAGAACCAGTCAATTACGACGGATATCTTGCGGCCAGAGATAAAGTCTGGGAGGCCATAGGATGGAAGTTTGCTGAAGAGGGCAGCGTACCACAGCTGATCAAACACATTCGTGATGTCAAGAGCAACGACATGAGCCTCACCATAAGACTGGATGAGTTTACTCCACAATTGTGTGACGTAAGCTAGGAGGTCCCCTGTGGATCGTTGGTGCCGGAAACCATACTGCATGTAGCTAATCAAGCTGTGACGTTCGAGGTAGCCCAGAAGTTCGCGATTTATGCACCTCTCTATCACCTTACTTAAAACAGAAAGCACAGCTATAGGCCTGTAGTTGTAAGGGTCGGCCTTAGTCCCCTTTTTTTTTATGGGTTGGACATGAGCAAATTTCGAGTTTTCTGGGAAGGTGCCGGATTCGTAAGATATCTGGAAGAGACGCGAAAGAACTGGAGCAAGCTCCGCTGCACACCTCTTCAGTACAATGGCAGGAATCAAGTGCGGACCAGAAGCTTTGTTGATGTCGAGCGACAAGAGCACTCGTCTTACGGTCTTATCCCTGAATGTTACTTCTCGCATAGTGTAGGGAACCCTTTGAACTGACGGCACATGGGCGATGGGGGCGACATCCATGGGGGAGTTGGTAGCAAAGATCTTGGCTAGCACTAACGCCTCGGCCTTTGAGTTGAATACAATTGTTCCATCCGGCTTGTCTGTTCTCTACAGTGGGGTTTTATAAGAAGGTGCTGTGTGCCCTGATCTTCTGCTGGCGAGCAGCGTCACACGATTTGTTAAACCAGCCGTTGGACCCTGATCTAGGCACTTTCACTGTGTGAGGGATGAATTCCTCCATTCCGACGTGGATAATTTCAGTTATCGAAGAACAGATAGCCGACGCATCCGCGTCAGTGAAACAGACATCGTTCCAAGGAAAGCTAGAGAAGAAGTCTCTGAGCCCCTCCCAGTCGGCATGTCCGTAATGCCAAGTTTTGCGGCCTGTACAAGTTTCTGCTGCCACAGCGGGTTCTGACCGAAACCTAACCTCCACAACACCGTGGTCTGAGTTATCCAGGGAGACAGGACAGAAGTGCTATAAAGGACAGGATGCTCAACCATCTTGTTTACAGCAAATGAAAACATATTTTCAAAATTAAAAATTCTACAAAATAAGGCTATAAGAATCATTTTAAATAAAAACAAATATGATATGATTAAGTCTATGTTAGAAGAACTACAGTGGTTGAATGTGAAAAATTGCACAGGTATATTATTTAGGTCTCGTTTTCATATTCAAATTAAAAAATCATTAATTACCACCACATTTAGAAAACTTCACAAAATTAAATAGTCATTATCATAACTAAGAAACTAGAGGAAGTATAGATTTTCATCTGCAAAATTGTAATAGTAGCATAACTAGTGAATCCATATTTCAAAAGGGAGTATTTGAATTTAATACATTGAATAATGATATTAAACAGTGTTCGAATATGAAAATGTTTAAGGTAAAATTAAAAAATCACTTTATGAATCAAAATGCATAGTGATGTAATTTTAATAGACAAGAATGTAAAATTACAGAAAATGGATTGATAAGAAATATATAACCGAATCGTTATACAAAATTGGCATTGTAGCATTAATGCCAAATAAATCTTCAACAAACAAACAAATTTCTTCTGCAAGGGTCAGTTATCATTTCAAGAATGAAAGTTTGTTCTCGAGCTCACCCTGGCGAACTACCCAATATTCTGACAGCTGTTAACATTTGTTTGTGATTGCATCCATTTTTAGCAGAATCGTACGTTCCTGGATATCAGTTTTTAAGAACACTTCCCGAAAGGGACCTCGTCCACCAGGTATCTCTCAGTTATTCTCAGCGGAAGCCTCGCTGTCGCATATCAATCGCATCTCTAAATATAAAGTTAATTTTGTGATTCTATTTTACTGTGTCAAAAAATTCCGTCCCGCCATCCCTGACAAAATCGCAAAATCGTTCTCAAGCAAACTGACCCTCCCGTTCTTCGGTTTTGAATCTCAGTCATTGGTCCTAATAATTTTATATATAAACTAAAGTTCCCCGGTCTTCACTTTTGAGTCCCGGGAATTGCCCACTCTAATTGACATAGGTACATAAACCGAAGTCGTGCTGTCCTGCTTTGACTCAAAGAATAAGTCTGGCAGCAATTTTCTTTAGAGCTCTTATCTGAATAAGACTGATTACATTCTAGAATCCCCTGGATGTGCGACGCGACATCTTTCTGTTAACGCTTAAGCTAAACAAACTTCTTTTTCTTTTTGCAGTATCAATCTGTGCTCAAGCGCCTACGTCGATCCCGGCGCGCGACGTGTGCTGCTCTCTGGCGGCAACTTTCTTCAGTGATTGCCACTTACTTGAGCAAGACGGAGGAACGGCGCGCCCGCGTCGCAGAGCTGCGGGCGGACGACGAGCAGGGCGCTCTGTTACTGCGTCAGTATCAGGCCCGCATAAACAGAGAAGAGGTAACGTAGAATTGGATCATACAATTATGAACTTCTCAAGCTATATTTTTTCACTGGTATTTTATAGAGCTTTGGTTAGTGTTAGTGCTTGGAGGATATTTGTTCAAACTACCTATTCTTGTATAGTTAGCACCATGGCGTCACACTAAATCGTTCATTATTCGCCTGGTTAAGATATTACGTCAGAAAATCTAATACAAATTAGAAAAGTCAGAGCTGCAATCATGAAACAATTCCTATATCGATTTTCGCAAATAACAATCATTTCCAACCAACAACTCGACTACAACGCGTAGCTAGCTATACAGCGTGTCCCAGATTCGCTGCTCTATACATACAGTGATCTCGGCTCCTGTTACACGTACAGCAAAGGTTAGAGGGGGAAGTTTTAGGAGAAATTTACTGCTTTCGATAGCCGGCTTCAA